AGCACTCTCCTACTCATATTTCCCAACAACTGCTGTATATGGGCATACTACCTCTGATACTGGAGGCAGCATACGGCCATCGGGACTACTAGCCATTGGTAGCCTTATCCTGGTAGCCAATGATTACTAGCCATTGGTAGCACCTTTTAAAACATCAAATTGGTAACCATCCCTACTTCACTGATGAGTCCAGCATGTTGTGTGAACTGGGGCAGTATCTGTAGGGTTTGCTTCTGGTGGCAAATCTGTATTTAAGGATAGTAGAATTCTGGAGCAAGTTCCTCTGTTCCATTAACTGTAACATAGAGCATCAATTTAGGTACATGGGAGCCCCAGTGAAAATGAGTCCTACAAATGTGATATCAATACCAAGGCTAATTGGATCTGATCTGGTGAGGATCAAAGCCATCCCAACAATTAAAATGATGCCAGAATGATGTCCAAGTTTCAGTGCCGCAGAGATGCATATTAAGGAAAATTACCACAGACTTTTTTTCTTTATTCTAGGTTGTACTCCATACACCTTCCAGGGCCTGTGGGTACCCCCCTTTTTCCTTGGCATCAAGCTTGCTAATTTAAAAAGCTCAAAAGTGAAAGTACCCTCAGGGCTGTGTGATATTTATTATCTATTTATGACATGTGCATTCTGCTTTTCCTTCCAGCAGCTCAAGGTGGCATGCAAGGCTTTCACTCATGTTACCATCATCATCCTGAGAGGCAGGTTATGCTGTGAGCTGGTTATTTGCCCAAGTTCACCCAGGCAGCGACACGTCTCAGTGGAGATTTGAACCCAGGTCTCTCAACTTAGTCTGACTCTCTTACCCATGCATATTCAAGTGGGAGCCCCAGGCACCCCTCCAAGTGTCCTCGCACAGTGACCCTGATCCCCAGCCACGGAATTGTCCACCCCCATTGCATATGTTCTTCACTCTTCCCCTGAGGTTCTCATAGAGATCACTCTTCGGTCACTTCTGTAATGAAGAGAACACTCTCTTTCACTTCTGTAGCAGTAATGAAAGAAGGCATGTGTTGGGGGGAGGGGGGGGCAGCAAGCCAGTCCGCCAGACAGCCTGTGTGGCCTAAAAAGTAGTGCACCCTTGCTCCGGCCCCTGTACACACTGGCTGAGTTTCGCTCAGAAAACGGAATTTTTGGAGCTGGCATTTGCGCCATCTCCTGCGTTATGCATATGACTGTACGAAATAATAACACGGGAATGATTCGTATTCTTCTTTTAATTTGGCAATACGAAACTGTAACAGAAGGGAGAACCTTGCACGATCTGTTCTCGCTTGCTCCACTGCAGTCAAAGCCCAGCGTGCACGCGCAGGCTTGGAGAAGCACAGCCCGATGCCCTCTGAGTCTTACTGCAAGCAAAATGTCCCACTGACTACTGAGGGGTTTCTAAGCACCAGGGATCTGATTGTTTAGAAATAAGCCCACCTGGAATCCACGCCGCTTACTTGCAAGTAAACGTAGCCAGGACGGGGCGGCGTAAAATTCTGGGCAATCCTGCACGCCTCCCGCCCCACCTCGCGAGTCGCTTCCCCCTCTGCCCCTCCGCTCCTCCAGGACCCCCCCAGAATCATGTGATCGCAATGCTAGACATCCTGAGGAAATGTTCTCTCTCTTTTCCCCTCCGCCTCCCTTCCCTTGGAAGATCTCTATGATCTGAACGCCCGTGCGCGCTGGAAGCGGGAGGAGGGGCTCCCATCCCAGGGTGTTTTCCTCCTCCTTGCTCCGCGGATCGCGCTACTGGCAAGCGGAGCGGCTGCTGGCGGGCTGGGATGCCGTAATAAGGTAAGGGGGCTGTGGAGCTCTTGGTCCTGGAGCTTTCTCAGCCGTGCAAGCCTTGCCACTTGGAAAGTTTGGCGGCGCGATCTTCGTAAGCTTTGCGGATGAGATCAGTAAGCCCGGGTTGGCAGTTTCAGCTCTCTGTTTGCAGGCAATAGTTTTTTGGCCGGGACTGTGCACGCCTTCCTGGGAGAAAGCCCATATCAGACATAGGGAGACTGTTCAGTCAAAATATTGGGGTGCAAAATGTGCACCGACCTGCTAACACGGGTGCGCTTTTGTTAGGGAGATGTGGCAATTGTCCTGGTGTGCTTCTAATATCTGATATTGTGTGTGTGGGTGGGAACCTCGATCTCCATATCACGAAAACATCCCGGACACCCTACATTTTAGAATACAGTTTATATTCAGAGCATTTTTAGTGCTACGAAAGTATATCGGATAGGTTGCGTGGCTGTTGGGTTTCATATTAATACAGCATCACGCAGGATGTGATAAAAACGAAAATTTTATTATGATAAGGGTGTTCATAAAATGTTAGTGGTTTACCAGTGCTGGAAGAGGTCTTGCTTCTTTCCTTGGTGAGGCTGCAGCCAAGAAACAGACCTTAGTAAAAGCATTAATCAAAGAGATCCTGGTGAGCTTTTGTTAAAGAAGTCCATGCAACTTTAGTTGGTGCTTCTGAAACACTTCAATCGCCCCCCGCCCCTCCCCACTTCGTCTGGTCCAGACTGGGGGGAGGGCGCTAACTGGGGAGTCCGCTGGTAGTTTTCGTAGAAGGCAGCAAAACCCTGGAGGTTTTGTTTTCTTCTTTGAGCTTCCTAGTAACCATCTTGCACTTGCAGTTTGAGTAATAAAAGCATGGATTTTAGTTTTATACATGTATAATACATACTGCTGGGGGAATTGGGAGTTTTCTTATTTGACCCCACTCAAGTGCATTCATGAATTTATCAAAGGTAGGGACAGATCCAGGGAGTGATTGTGGATTAATTCGGAGTATAAAGGTGTGGTCTTGTGTGAGAATACAGATTCTATTCTATAAAAGTTTGTTTATAATAATAATAATAATAATAATAATAATAATAATAATGCATAATAGATGCATGGGTCTTTTGAAATGCTGTTTGTTGTTTTTGATAGAAAACACTGTAAATGGTTAGGCAAAAGTGCATTTTAAAAATGAATTTGGTGTGCAAATTGTTTGTTTGCTCTGGCAACTCATGTAGAAAACTCTAAGGCAGGGGTCTCAAACTCAACTTCCCTGGGGGCCGCTGGAGGTAGAGGCTGGGTGAGGCTGGGCTGCATCACGTATCCCACCCCCGTGGTGGGGGTGGGCCGCTCATCCCGCGTCGCTCCTGGACCCCGGCCCGGGCGCCATGGGTGCTTTGAAGGCCGCAGGGCCCCTCCCCCATGCCCTGCCCGTCCCGGCAATGGGCCCACGGGCCTCGAGTTTGAGACCCCTGCTCTAAGGCTTTCTTTTTGCACACTGCATCACCCCACATGCTCTGCTGAAAGTCTCTTGCTCAGTCCTTCAAACCTATTCATCCAGCATTTGGCATGTAAATATTTTGCAATGTAATTCATTTTAAGCGTGTGTTTATTTGACAGGGATCTGCTTAGCCTAGTTTAAAACTCTGGGGAGAAAAACCAAAGGAAATTCTCAGCATGCCCACACTCCCATCACAGCATTGCATAGAATCTGCCCACCCGGTTTGGGGGATGAATGGTAGGGCGGTGGGATGAATCCAATGCTGTGCACTCAGCAGTGGAGCAAATTCCCCATCCCCTTGCAACCCCCCCTTACACTCCCTACTTTGGAGGGTTGGGGAGGCCCTCTGGAGTAAATTTGGTGGGCATAGGGAGGGTGAAGCGGGATGAGAACACAGCACAGCCTTGGAAAGTTTTGTGTTGCTTCTCAGCTGTTGTAAACAGACACAAGTAGAAGCTTGTCTGGAGAAAGGCCTCTGTTTTTATCGATCCTGCTGTCTTTTGCATTGCATTGAAACCTTTCCCCTTGTTATCTTTGCCTCAGAAGCTGGTGTGGATTCTAGAAGCCTTTTTTGTTGGCTCAGCCTCATGTGACTGATAGTCACAGATGCTTCCAGCATTGCCAGAAATAACAACCCACGTACAATAATACGATTTCCTGTGCCTATTCATAATGTGTGAATTTGCAAAGAGAGAAGTGCATTTCTCTAGTGAAATGTTCCCTGAATTGAGATCCCACAGGGAGTCTCATCTTGAATGGAGGCCCATTTCCCCACACTGTGCAGCCACTTCTTCCATACTGCTTCAAAAGAGGTATTCACAGGTATGCTGCGTTTGCTTGATGTCTGCCCGTTCCTGCCTTGGATTCAGGATGAAAAATGCCTTTTATTGTATGTGCTTTGTGCAAGGAGCATATACAGCATCTCTGTTACATGAGTGAACACAGTAAGTGCATGAATCAGCTGCAAAGAGTTTGTGTGAGAGAGAGTTATTGTCACATTTAGACATGAAAATAAAGGTTCTATTGTTATTCAGGCTACTCTGAAAGAACTTTGAAGATCGTATTAGAAAATCAATCACAACAAAAATTTTCTGACCTCGCAACTTTTCTCTGACTTCATCCTCCTTTTCATTCAATCCCCTTCTGAAACTCATTTCCACAAAAGCTCTGTGTGTGTGTGTGTGTGTGTGTGCGCGCGCGTGCGCGCGCGCGTGTGCGCGTGTGCTGGGGGTGCATTCCAGTGGTGTGTGCTCAAAGGTAAAACGGGCAGACCCAAAATACAAAACATCACCATCATACTGTGCTTTGAAGCCTTTATTACAAATAACTAAGCCTTAGGAGAGGCAGTGCAACTTTCTAGAATAGGGGTGGAGAACTGAACTAAAGCTTAGAAATCCCCAGATGATTGGTGGTTTGAGGAAAGGGTTGTGACCATCTGCAGAACCCCAGAGTTGTATTTCTGTGAGCCATCCCGAGGCTATATAGCAAGGGGACGGCATATAAAAACTTTAAATAAATAAATAATACCCTAGGAAGGGTAAATCTTACCCCTGGGCCTGAGGTGGCCTGCCTCTTCGTCTAATGAGTGTAGCTTGTACATCTCCTTTGAAAAGCCGAAGCAGGAGAGCATTCTATAAAGTAAATCCAGCTCGTGTTCCAGCGGAGGGGTGATATTCTTTTGAATCCTTGCCTTTGTGCCCTGACCTTTAGGTGGCTATGGAGATCAGTGGCCTCCCACTGGAGTTATGGCGCCTGATCCTGTCCTACTTGCGCCTCCCGGACCTCGGCCGCTGCAGCTTGGTGTGCAGAGCTTGGTATGAGCTCATCCTCAGCCTGGACAACACCCGGTGGCGGCAGCTGTGTCTGGGCTGCATCGAATGCCGGCATCCCAACTGGCCCAACCAGCCTGACGTGGAGCCCTGGTCGTGGCGGGAAGCCTTCAAACAGCACTATCTTGCTTCTAAAACCTGGACCAAGAACAGTCAAGACTTTGAATCTTCCAACTGCTTTTACTTGTTCCGAAGGAAAAAGGACCGGCGAGTTCTTTATGTCGGGCCTGGCTGTGAGTTTGACAACCTGAGGAGCGCCTTGCTCTCTGCAAGCAGCTACGACAGAATTGTCCTGTTGCCTGGGGTGTATGAGGAACAGAGCGAAATCTTCCTGAAGGCCCCCGTGGAAATTATGGGGAGGGGGAAGCTCGGTGATGTGGCTCTGCTGGTGAGCTTTGACCAGCACTGTCCGACCATGCGGTTATGCAACTTGGTATTCATGCCCACCTGGTTCACGCCCATTGTCTATAAGGTGAGTGCAAATGTGGGTAACAATCCCCGGAGCTGTTCAGATCAAGCAGCAAAGCTTGAGGTACCACGAGCACAGTAGGTTGGGGGATAGATCAGTAGACACAATCTACTGGGAGGTTCTCAGGCCTTAGGGCAGCCTTCCTGAACCCAGTACCCTCTGTATGGCATTGACAACAACCCTGGGCATGATGGGAGTTGTAGTCCAATTCATCTAGATGGTTCCAGGTAGGGGAAGGTCACCCTTGTGAACTGAATGAGAATCACCCAAAAGAACTGTGATTTCCATAGCACTGGCTGTGGAAAAGATGCTTGGTTCCTACCCAGACTTAGGTTGGGAGCATGTGAACTTAACCCTTCACTTCCTTCAACACAGGCAGAGAATGAGCTGGGTAATCTTACATCTGTTTGAAGTTAGGCTCTCTCTTGGATTTTTTGGGAGCTGAGTCCCCTTCTGATCTCTTGCAGTGTTTACAAAAAACAGGGACCTATGTTGGCTCAAGAAAAAAATCCAAAATCTGTATGGCCAAATTATTAGGACAAAAGATCACCCCAGGTGTGCAGATATTAAAGATCTGCTGATCTCTTCATCAGGGAAAATGTTATGAAAAGGAGATTGGCCAGGGAAAGGAAATAAGACTGGTTGTTGTAATCGGGATGTCTGCATAGGCACAGCCTAAGGATCTGGGATATATGAGGAACAGAGCAAAATCTTCCTTAAGGGAGTTTGCTGAAATTCAAATGGGGCTCTGCCAGGTGAGGGGACAGTTCCAAGATTCAGCACCCTTAGGATCACTGGGAAGACAAACATTGGCATCAGTTCTTGAGCCTCCGATTTTGCTGCTTGATCTTGCAGTGCTTATTACAGTGAAATGACTTAACCCCTTGATTTTCTTCTTTCCCCTTAGACAAACTCAGGTCATGTCCAGTTTGACAACTGCAACTTTGAAAACAGTCAGCTGCAGATTCATGCCCCAGGAACCTGCCAAGTTAAATTTTGTACTTTCAGCCAGTCCAGCATCAGCTTCCACAGCGTGGCCATCTGCCTCCTGGAAAACTGCGAGTTTCTTGGGAGTGAAAACGCTTCTGTGACAGTAGAAGGTTGCCCGTCTTTGGACAGGAACTGGGCCTGCAAACACTTGACCATGTGGGCAAAGTCCCGCTCTGTCCTGCTGCAGGCGCCAGAGCCGCCCCTGTATGGCACATCCAAGTTCGAAAGCCAAGGAGCCCTGCCAACAAGGAATCCAAGGAACTGTGAAATCGTGGTAGGTGGGGACCCCTCCACTGTGTTCCCTGCTTCCCAGACTCATGCCATGCCAAAGAGAGGGTGTGAGAAGGAGAATGACATTACCGGGAGCCTTAACCCAGCCCCCAAAGAGGAGGCCACGACCATGGACACAGATTCCAGTGACAGTGAACTGAGCATCAGCAGTGAGAACGAGGACGATGATGAATCGATGTACAAATTGCCTTACCAGGCTCATAGCTTGAGCCATATGCTGGCCAAAGGGATTCATGGCAGGCTACAAACCAATGGCTTAACAGCTCTTCAGAATGACTACGAGCTGAAAACACTGTCTCAGGAGCTGCCCAAAGACAAGGAGGCCCAGGCTCTTGGCAACTCGGTGCAAGGATGCTTCATTCGGAAGTGCCTTTTCAGGGACGGAAAGGGTGGCGTCTTTCTTTGCTCCCAGGGGCAAGCCAGAGTGGAAGGGAGCATCTTCAGGGACTTGACTTATGCTGTGCGATGCATTCAAAACAGTAAGGTGCAGTAGAAGATGGGGAGCGAATCTTGCATGCCGTGGTTTAGCCTGCAGTGGTGTTGAGCTAAATTTTTCCTTTTAAGGCTGACATCTTAAAAGCCCTGGGCCTTGTGCCTATAAATAGTTGTGGATATTTTATGTCAACCTTCTAATCTCTCTCTGACCGCTCTCTCTTCAAACAAATTGTTGGGGAACCGTAGGCTAATAATTCTGGATGTATTTTTAGGCTGAATTCTGCAACCAACACATACCATTGGTGCAAATTATGCTACTTAGCATTCTTTCCCTGCTTTTGCTTGGTTCTGCTGATCAAAGGAAGGGACAAGAGCCTACAGAGGGTATTGAAGCCCTAACCCATTGGAAATCTCACCCAGCAGCAACTCTGAGTTAGAAATCTCACCAGGCTTCATCCACACAGTTGCAAGCATATTTTGTACACACTCATAAATACATATAGCCTGAGCTGCAAGAATCTTGCTTTAAAAGAATAACAGAAAGCTGAGATTGCTAGGAAGCTGTAGTCTGCAGCTTTTCCACCCTTACCCAGCATCAGGTTTGGCTCCAGGTTTTACTTTATTTATTAAATTTATAGCCCACTTTTTTTCTTACGAAGAACTCAGAGTGGCTTACATCTTTCCCCTGCTGCTCTCCGTCTTATCCCCACAACAACCACCATGAGAGGTAGGTTGGGCTGAGGGTGTGTGACTGGCCCAAAGTCACCTGGTTGGCTTCAAGGCTGAACAGGACAAGAACTGAGATCACCTGAGTTCCAGTTCTGTGCTGCTAACCACTACACCACACTGGCTCCCAGTGTGGGTCCCTGGGCAAGACACCCTCACTGGACCTCCCTGTTGCTGGGTCTACCTTCTCACCACCCTTGCCGCCAGCTGCACTTGCTCCACATCCTCTTTCTTGTGGATATCGCTTCCTTGCTTGACAGACAAAAAAGCCAGGCAGCAAGGAGGCCATGGCCTCCCTTCTCATCAGTGCCACCATTTTCTGGCCTGAGGAAGAGGCAGGTTGTGGTGAAGAGGAAGAATCATCCATGGGAGCTCTTGGCCTTGTCCACTGTTAGCCTGTGGAGCCTTAGCCTGGCTCCAGAATGAAAGCACACTCAGAATCCACTGCCCATTCCCGTAAACAGCAAGAGCAGGAGGTTTCTTGAGCCCCTGATGGGGCTACATCTCATTTGGTGGGTAAGGAATTGCACAGGACAAGATCAAGCCGTCCCTGAAGCTGAAAGGAAACTTTCTGTCTTCATTTTTCTTGTGGCAAGGTTAATTTATGGAACTGCTCCTGTGTCATGGTCTCCCTCCCTCCACTCTGTGACCTTCATCATGTTGGGGCTTTTCTGCAAAGACCGCCTTGCCACGCAGAAGCTCAGGACAGTCTGTGTTTATCTTGAAGAGGCAAAATCTGGGAACAAAGGCAGAGGTGTAGGACTCCCCCACCCCCCATCCCGGTTGCCGTTTCCACTCTGGAGAATTCAGAAGCCTTGCCAGAAGGGGTTTGAGAAGACGAATGAGAAGTGGTATTAGATTTATGGCGTCTATAACAATGCATGGCTGGGTTTTAAGGTCTTTGTGTATCCTTTCCTTGCTTAGCAACCCTTGGCTGACCTTTCAAAATACAAACCCTTTGCTTCTGACTCTTTGCCCAAGGAACGGACGGATATTTGGGATCACGGCATTAATTTGGGCTTGATGCAGAATGGCCAAGCTGTTGGGGTTCCTGTGTGTGGCAAAATCTGGGCCGCATTAATTGCTTGCGCGGCTTGCCAAGCAGCCTGCTAAAGGGGTCTTGAGACAGCACATGCTGCTGTGTAGACAAATGCTGGAAATAGCAGGACCATCATTCCTGTGCATTGTGTGGGGAGGGGGGGGGTCTGCACAGCATTTGTCTTGTAAATGTGTTTGTTTCTTGGCCAGTTTCCTGTGGAATCTGAAGGCAGAAGCTGAGCTGCATTTTCGGCAGGAGGCGGCCGCATTGGAGCTGGCTTGGGGTTTGAGTGAGACATTAATTGCCAGTTTCTGTGCCATTTATTACCTAGCCATTGTTCCCAGGTGAATGCCTTGAGATTACACCTGCATTTTTCTGTAGCGCTTTCAGCATTGCATTCAGATTCAATAATTTTTTGCTCTCTCTCTCTTTGAAATGAGGGGGAAGGGAGAAAGGAACTTGTTCCTTGGCTTTTCAGGATATTCATTGACTTGAAATGGAGATTTTCTTTACAGTAAGTTGAATTCCCATTTGTTTTGTTTTGCTTTGCAACATGCATTCACAAAGCTTGGACATATGGGGCTGTCTCATTCATTCTCATAACAACCCAGAAGTATAGGACAGGTAATTCTTATTCTCAATTTACTGGTGAAAAACTAAGGTTGAGAGACAAGATGAGCAACCAAGCATAAAGGAGGACGGGGTTGTTATAGTTCTGATAACTGAGTGGTCCACCGTTTCCCCTTCCCCTTCCCCTTTTTCTTTTCTTTTCTTTTCTTTTCTTTTCTTTTCTTTTCTTTTCTTTTCTTTTCAGTTCCCTGAAGTCCTCTAATGTATGCTGAATTTACAAGGCAAGCCCTCTTAATGTTTAAGGCATAACTAGTTGGAGTATGTAGTCATGGTTAAAACATCCAGAGCTTACTGGTTCAGGCCAAGGTTCATGTGGTCTGGCATTCTTTGTAAGAATCCTAGCATTATACTGGCTTCCCTTAGTGTCCACCTGCTTGCAGAATGCCCTTCTCAGGAAGATCTGCCTGGCATCTTGATTGTACCCATTCAGATGCCGCATTAATATCTTCCTCTTCCAACAGCCATTTAATTTTATGTTGACCTGAATATTAATTTTTGTGACATATAATGGTTTAAGTTTTTTATAGCTTCACTGTAGTATTTATTGAGTTGGTTGTTATTTTGTTGTCCTGTTCTTTTTAAATGGTAAATTGCCCCAAGGACAACCAGATCTGGGGTGGTATTTAACAAATAAAGCAGCCAACTGGCAACTGCTCAGTGTCTCATCAGCCTTCCCATCATTTAGATCAAGTGTGGAGGACCCAGGACCAAGGGCAAAATCTGGCGCTTTGGAACCCCTTGGATAGGTACGCCCCCTCCACCTCACCCTACCCCACCCCATCCCACCCACCAATTATTGGGTGCTTCCCCAAATTTCTACCCCTTTGCCTTGGCTTCGCCCACCCACTGGAATGTAGTTCCCAATAGCTCCTCCAAAATGGAACGTTATCCCCAATGGAAGATCAGCATCACCTGGCAGAGCCTTTTAAGGGAGCTTGGGCTGAGAGCGTAACATGCCAAAGGCCCTGCAACTCACGTCATAGATGAGCAGGGACCTGACTCTGATTCCAGGACTTCCTTGGTCCAGCTCCCAAGACATGCTCTGCCATACTGGCTGGCAAACACTATATCCAGAACGATCTCTTCTTTGCCATGGGCTATGGAGAGGCTGTGAATCACCAGTTGGAACGAAGATTGCCAGGAGAAATATCAACAACCTCAGATATGCAGATGATACCACTCTAATGGCAGAAAGTGAAGAGGAACTAAAGAGCCTCTTGATGCGGGTGAAGGAGGAGAGTGCAAAAGTTGGCTTGAAACTCAACATCAAGAAAACTAAGATCATGGCATCTGGTCCTATCACTTCCTGGCAAATAGATGGGGAAGAAGTGCAGGTAGTGACAGATTTTATTTTCTTGGGCTCCAAGATCACTGCAGATGGTGACTGCAGCCAAGAAATTAAAAGACGCTCCTTGGGAGGAAAGCTATGGCAAATCTAGACAGCATACTAAAAAGCAGAGACATCACCCTGCCAACAAAAGTTCATATAGTCAAGGCTATGGTTTTCCCAGTTGTAATGTATGGCTGTGAAACCTGGACCATGAAGGCTGAGCGCTGAAGAATTGAGGCCTTTGAATTGTGGTGCTGGAGGAGACTCCTGTGAATCCCTTGGACTGCAAGGAGAGCAAACCAGTCAGTCTTAGAGGAGATCAACCCTGACTGCTCTTTAGAAGGCCAGATCCTGAAGATGAAACTCAAATACTTTGGCCACCCAATGAGAAGGAAGGACTCACTGGAGAAGAGCCTAATGCTGGAAACAATTGACGGCAAAAGAAGGAGACGGCCGAGGATGAGGAGGCTAGATGGAGCCACTGGGGTGGTGGGTGTGGGCTTAAGTGGACTCCGGGGGATGGTGGAGGACAGGAAGGCCTGGAAGAAAGTTGTCCATGGGGTTGCAATGGGTCAGGCGCAACTTAGCAACTAGCAACAACAGCAATGGAGAGGCTGATCGCATCGCACCTAGTAAATGATACTATTCCCTGTGGGCTTGATACTTTAGAATTACGGATGTTGAACCTCAATCCAGGAACCTTGTCTGTCCCAGCCGGCGCCTTGCCTGGTTTCCTGGGGGTGTCCAGATGGCTACACCTCATTCCCATGTTGCCAGGTGATTCTCATTGCTGCCACTGTCAGCAATTGTTTGGTGGCTTTCTTGGCTTTTGTGTGATTTCTTCCCCATTGTTGTCCTGCCCTGGCTGTGGGCAGTAAGGGTTTTTTGGATTTCCAGGGAGTGATATGCCAACTCCAGTTTACTAAGAAGGAGATTAATAATCCCAAACAAGTAGTTGGACTTCCATAATGTTTAGCAGCAAGTCTCTTACTCGGTGCAATGGGGACTTCTGCAAGACAGGATCCAGTCAGCTGGGTTCAGATAGAAACAGCAGACTCCTCCTCAAAAACAGCCTGAACGGGAGCACAAAGGAAGTGGGTACCTTTGTAGATTACAAACTTACGCTGTTGTAACACATGCATGCAGCATTCTACATAATTCAAAAATATGATTGCTGGAATAGTTTTGATGCTACTGTTTACTCAGATGCTAAGAAATAATGACTTCCAGTGAGCTGGTAAGGAGTATTCCTTTCTGAATGACCAAGGTTCCTTCTCTGTCTGACATCAGAGCATAGGCTCGTTACTGCCTTTGGCCTGCAGAAGCAATGGCTGATAAGGAATGGTTGAGGCTGCAGATGTGCACGGTGCGCATGGTCCTCGTACAGCCTTAATATCGGAAAGGGAAACTCCTTAGTCTCATGAAAGCAAACTGCCAAGGTTGGGGAATGCTAAGGAAAGCTCTGTTGTTCTGCTGTAAGCCACTGGACTTCAGTGCCTAGCGAAGCAAGCATTTTAAAGAGGTAGAGGTTCAGCCCTGGCTTTTTGGGGTTCAGCCCTATTACAATATTAAAAGGTTGAAATGCCTCTCCTAAGGGGGAAATGCAAAGGCTGGAAGGAGAGGACAGCTGCTTCCCTAAGTACAGCAATGCATAAATGGCAGAACTCGGATTATTTCAGTTCTTACTGTCATTTTACTGTTAATCACAGCCAGTCTTGGATTGAATAGCATTTGAAGCACAGCAGAATTGAAAACCCTCTTTAGTTTTGATTGAGCAGTTTTAGAAAAAGGCAAGTGGAAGACTTTTGCATGCACACATTTTTCAGTTCTAGGAAATGGATTGCTTTTGCTTGGTATAAGTGTTTTAAGTTTGGCTTAAAGATGTTCTGTACCTGCATGTAGCAATTTGCTGTGCGTTCAATGATGTTATAAATTACATTCCAAAAAGCCTTAAAATGAGAAAGAAAAGGAGGCAGAGTGACAGGGAACATTGAAGGAGGGGTCTTTTATATTGCATTCTTTAAATTACTTGTTTACCCCACTCTCCCTCCAAGGCACATGCATTTCTTTCTCTCCTCCCTGTGGGGTTGTTAACTAAGAAGTGGTGGCATTGAAGGAGCCATTGCAGGATCCAGGCCTCCCAGCCTGCTAAGGTTTGCCAGTTGGTAAGCTGCAGGTGAAGGTGAAGTTTTGATGTGACCCAGAAAGGAGCTTGGTGGATTGGCTGATTCGAAGAAGAATCTTGTTCTGGCTTAGATTACAGTCTGGCGGCTGTGATGCTAGTCTCCTGCCTGGGACTAGCTTGATAAGCCCCAAAGATTCCAGTTACACCAGATGTTCTGGAATGAACATTGATGTTCTAAAGCTGGACATGAAGGTGATGTCCTTCCCCTGTTTGTCTCTACTCCCTGGTATTTGGAGGTATACTGCTCCTTTGCATGGGGGCTCTATCTCAGGCCAGTTTCCTCCCATGGGCTATGCTCTCTGCTGTCTCTGCCCCATATAAAAGGGAGGAGGAGGAAAATCAGAGTAGAACATGTCTCCATTCTAAACCTCTGTAGGATTAGACTGGACATCTCCTTTTTTCAAACTTTTCAATTAACTTCCTTTGACATTTTGAATATATTTTTAAGATAACCTTTTCTCTCTTTTTCTAAAAAGAAAAAAAGGTGTTGTCACATTCTGCCAAGGTGGGGCAGCATTTGCCCATCCTTGTTCTAGATAATTGTCATGAGATGGGGCCCAAGCTGAATACATCATGCCAGAATGGCCTGGCTGGATCTGCACCTTAAAGTCCACCTCCAACACGCTTTGATGACTGCATTCATGGTCTGTAGCTGCAGACTTCTGGGAAGCCTGGTTGGCCTCTGTAAGCCTCAAGGTTGATCCATCACAATCAAAGCTAAGATAGCTGTAAACACCTGTCAGGCTATTATTGTTATTGGGATAATGATGGTATTATCTGTTAATATGCAGGATAGCCAGGCTTACTATTCTGATCCCAGCGTGACCTCCTCGCCAGGTCAGCGGTGAGTGACTAATAGGGAAAGGAATACAACCACCAACCACCTTCCCCTCTCTTCCCCTGCATTTTAATTAACTGGTGGGGCAAGGGGGAGCCATGTTTTCAAATGAGCAAATAAAGGAGTTGTAATTTAATTATCTTTTTCAATATGCAGCACTCACCAAGGCGAGAATATTGCAATTTGTGGATTTGTTTCTTTCCGCTTGTCAGACATGGGTTTAAAGGTTTATTTGACTGGAAAAGAATTATATGCATGAATATTTAAAGCACTTATTTGCTCAAATAAAACAATGCCAGGACTTAAAGCATCTCCCATTGAGGTCTTTTTGCTGGCCTGTGTAGATTATGTTTCTAGGCGATGCGCTTTTTTCCCTTGCTCACTAGACCAATAACTTCCAGACTGTGTATGCTTGTGTTAAATGGAACAGCTAGTGTGCCCTAAGAAGGAAATTAATGTTGCAAGGTGAAAGCACCCACTGATGGGAGTCTGCCTGCCGCCTCTCTGTATGCTTTGTTGCTCTGGGTAACCACCTCCCTGCACTCAACCCCGAATGAGCTGTGGGGGCAGGTTGTGGGGAGTAATTCTGCCATGTGATTCTACCTTGGGTGCAACTGCTTCATTCGGTCATACCTGGGGAAATGACTTAGCAGAATTATCTACCCCAGGAGCTACTCCTAACCTGTTCGTGCTGTGTTGAGTTGCTGATCTGAACATTTCTCTTGCTTGGAAGGAAGCAATCTGAAGGCACTAAAATGTGCAGTGTAGCCTCCAGCAAGCACAGATAGAATTGCAGAGTATGATAGGACCTCAAAGCTCCTATAGTCCAACTGCCTGTCAGTGAAATCCAGCAGTACCATGTCCCTGAGAGGTAGCCGTCCAGCTCCTCCTTAGAAATCACCGATTAAGGTAACTATGACACCTGTGAATTGGGAGTGATGTGATTCCTCAATGGACAATTACTTGTCCTCAGTGGAATCCTCCCGCTGTGTCTCTGCATGAGGCAGTCTTCCAGGGTTGCTTCTTCCCCTAGGCAGGTGTGCTCTGAACAGTGTCTCATGCAGAGACTGGTTTTCTGTGGCAGGAAGCAACTCACACATGTAAATACTGATACTGGTGCTACTAGTGGCAATAACAGCAGCTTCCGTATAGCCTGAAGTGCTTGACCCTGCCTGATCTTGGAAGCTAAGCAGGATCAGGCCTGGTTAGCATCTGGATGGGTGATTTAAATATTGTGAACTGCACAGATTGCTTTGGCTATGGGCAATATAGAAATGTAATAATATAATAATAATGGTCTTGCACAAGACACTGAGAACTTACACCCTCAGGTGGCCATCTGCTGTTTTTTGTCTCCAGTACTGGGTGCTAATATATGGGTGCTCCATTTATTTATCTGCCATTCCATATCTTGTGTCAGCAAGTTCCACAAGGGGTAATTAATGGAGAAGAGAAGTGCCTGCCCAGAAACATCTATTTATGCATTCATTCTGCTTATATACTGTTTGATAGCCTGAGATAAAAGCATAAAAATATAACATACAGCATGCAGCCAACCTGTCCCCAAATGCCTCAGCCAATCATACGTCTTCGTTCTGCCATCACTGCATGGCTTGCGTGCATCCTTCATTTGTGATAACTGACCTGCCTGTGTAGGTAAAACAGTTCTTTCCCCAAAACCTTATGAAGCAGCTGTTGAATAATGTGAGTGAGTCAGCACTGAAACGAGACAAGGTAGCTGGAGATGACAAAATAGCCCCTTGGCCAGTGGCAAAGAATGGCCTCCATGCACAAATGTTTGCAGACTGTCTCACAGCCGTTTCTTGTTTTGTCTTCGGTTACAGATGCACCACTAGTGGCTTGGTTTATGTGGGTAGGAGGGCTACTGAAGCCTATTATGGACTAGTTGATCTGGCAGGCTTACTTGGGGAGCTAAAACAAGGTCATTCGTGGAGGGTAAGACCGTCTTTGGCTACCAGTCAAGACGGCTGTGTTCTACCCCAACATTTTTTTTAATTTTATTTCCGATTTATATCCTGCCTTTTTCCTACAAAGGGCTCAAGGCAGCTTATATCATTCTCCTCCTCCATCTTATCCCCACATCAACCCTGTGAGGTAGGTTGGGCTGAGAGTCTGTGACTGGCCCAAAGTCACCCAGTTGGCTCCATGGCCGAGCGGGGACTCGAACCCAGATCCTCTGAGTCCCAGTCCCATGCTCTTAACCACTACACCACACTGGCTCTCTCTCTGAACTGGTTCACATCTCTGAACCCCATTTGCTGAGGAGGCTGCTGCAGGGCTTTGATGCTTCTGGACTTTGCTTCGCTGCCTTGCTGGCCCCATGGAAAGAATTATGTTGGACTAGACGGGCCTTTGGTCTCATCCAGCTGGGTTCTTAGGTTCTGCAGGCTCTTTACAGGCATGGTCCTATGCAGATTTAGGCAGAAGAAGGTCCTACAACTTTCAGCAACCGGGGTGACTGGGGCTCGCTAAGAATTGTAGGACTGGTGGGGTGGGACAGGATTGTTTGCCCACCACAGCTTTTCCTGTCCTTGGCCCTTCTCACTGGATTGAGTTTATTATTTATTATTTATTAGAACATTTCTATGCCGCCCCTTGCCGAAGCCTCGGGGCGGCTTACAACACAATAAAATACAATAAAATACAAAAATAACAATTTCAAATTAAAATTAACAATATAAAATAAATAAAAAATACAAAAGATATAAAAGAAGTTATAAAAGAAAAGAAAAGTTGCAATTTGCGTTGCTGGCTGGGGCACTGGATCACAGAATTGGAAGAGACCATTTAGGTGATTGAATACAACTTCAGCTCAGTGCAGGAATCCAGCTGTAGCAGGCTGGGAGTTGTAGTCCAACATGGCTGGAAGGCACCAAGCCAGGAAGGTTGCCTTAACTTGTAATGTGCTCCTAGGGGTTCAAAGCAAAGAGAATCCTGTTGCAGCCCTTACAATAGCCATGTAAAGAGGGCAGATGTAGGGCTGGGAGTGGGAAAACAGAGCTCAGGTCTCCAGTTTGTCCCAGAGAGGAGGTCTGTCCCAGAGATGCCCTGCATTGTAGCTTAGAGCTATGGCATCGCATCAGTTCAAACTGACACATGGTGGCTTCTGCATTAGCAGAATTTATGCTGATGAGGCATAAAGCAGTTTGAATCATGCTTTTTTCCCTTCTCCCTTTTAGATCATCATGCTGAAGAATGACATTCACCACTGCAAGACCTCAGGGATATTTCTGCGCCTTGGTGCTGATGGCTTGATTGCCGAAAACAACATTTATTCCAATTGCGAAGCTGGTGTGGACATTCGGAAAGGGGCCAATCCCTTCATCCTGGTATGAAATTTTGCATGACCAGATATGTCCAAAGGTGGTTGTTTGCTGTGGATTCAGGGAAGTGGAGTGTGGTGGTTGGGTGTTGGCGTTTCTCAGAAGATGGGAGAGGCAGTTCAACTCTCCTCCTGCGCTTCTTATTCCCCAGGGCCCTGAAATCCATGTTAGGGAAAGAAGCCTGGCTGGTGGGGGAAACCATGTGGAACAGGGGTTGCAGGGAGGGAGGGAAAGTTTGTGATCTCCTCCTCCAGACAGACCCCTTGGAGCTCCAATATCAATAGGGTGGTGCATCCACTCTGAGCTTTGGGAAACTTTGAAGGAGCTCTCCCTGGTGCTCAGTGTAGAACCGCTTTGTGGTATCATCCAGCCGTTCAGCGCCAAGAAGTGAAAGCTCAGACCGGATACCAGAGTGGATACACTGCTCCAGTGACACTGGCACCCCCAGCCCGCACCTTTCTGCTTTGCATATGGCCCTGCATTCACATTGTGCTACAAACCCAGGACTGGGAAACATAGAGGAGCTGCATATGGCAACAGCTACCTTTGGCCAAAGGCTTGTTGTACTCCAGGTTGAACCTTTAAGTGTTGCTCAAGAGATGCTTTAACTCCAAATCTTACCAGAAGAGAGAGGCTTTGTCCCCATATAATATTCCTATGAGATCAAGTAGCTTTCATGGCATGTGAAAGGGGCCATTCATGCTAAACAAGTGATTTGTCCAGCTCTGAGTAGCCAGCATCACATATATTATTGTATTCTGCGGTAGGGAGTTTTCTGTAATGAGAGACTTCCGTAATTCTTGCACAATGAAAGAAGGTGGGATGAGCCATGCTGCTCAAGAGCAACCTTCCATTTAGGGGAGCAAGCAATTCGGAAAGCTATGAATTGTGCCAATCCAACCTGCCCAGATCGAGGGGGAACCAAGTCCAACCCACTGAGAGTTCTGTAGATTTCCCATCTTCTGTACCCGCTTCCTGCCACACATGCCCCATTCTGAAAGGTTGAAATGAGTCTCTTAATGCTTAGGGAGTGGCAAGAAGAGCTTCAGGCTAATGTATTTTGGTATTTTTGCCCAGAATACAGCTCCTGAGAGCCTCTCCAGAACAGAATGTGGTTCTTAGGTTGAAAGAGGTTTGATGTCCTGGTACATGACATGTTCTGGAGGGACATGGGATGCAGCCTATCCCAGTGTCGAGAGGAGCATCCATTTTGGCCTGTTGATAGAAGAAAGTGTCCACCTTTATTCCCTTGAGCAGTGGGGGTGCATGGGCTAAGTATCTGCCCGCCACTCCTAAGGTCACCAGTTCAAGACCCACTGGGGCTCTTGACATGACACAAAAGCCACCAGGATCCACTTCAGGGTTGTGCGAGGGTTGTTTAACCCCTTCAGAACCCATGCCCATCAGCATCACATGACCCGGTAGTTACCAGTTGGGTGGGTGGCTATGCAGCATGGCACTCATAGGTGCTACCATTGATCACGGGTTAAATAACTTGCAGGAAGCCACTGTGTGCTGTTGGAACGTGGTCACGGTAGGTTGGATGCCCAGTGGAACAGAGGTGTGGTTCGTAGGCCTGTGGCGCTTCATGTCTTGAACCCACAGCTGCCTGTACACGTGGGGCATGGACAAAGTATTGTGGTTAGAGATCTAACAAGCCAGCCTTCAGATCTACTCAAGCTGTTTGCTACTCAAACAAATTTTAATGGAGCCTACATTTGGAATTTCAGCCTCCTTTATTCTTTTATTTATTAAATTTATAACCTGCTGATAGCCCTACCAGACCTCTCTGGGTAGTGTACATTTCTATTAAAACCAACAGTAAAATAAATAACTCCATAAAATAATGCAATATGGGCAAGATATAGTAGCTTTAAAACATCAATTTAAAATTTACTAATAAATATAAATCAATAACAATCAATTATTAAAATACCTGGAAAATAGAGCAGTCTTCTCCTGGAGCTGAAATGCTAGTAATGAAGGAGCCAAGCAGACTTCTTTGGAGAGCCTATTCCAGAGGTGGGGCACGACTGTCTAAAAGGCCTCCTATTTGCCATTCCCTCACCTCTTTGGGGGATAGTTCTTTAAGAAGGGCCTGTGACTCAGATTGTAACAGATGGGTAGGTCCACATGGGAGAGGGTTGTCCTTCAGGCATCCAAGCCATTTAGGGCTTTATTGCCAACACTACTCATTTCTCAACTCAGATTTACACGTGTAACTTTGCTGTTGTGCACCACTGTTCTTTCTGTATCTAGGAGCCAGGGCTGGGGTGAGAACCTTCTCTGACCATGTCCTGGACTAGTGGTGGCGAACCTATGGCACGTGTGCTGCAGCGGGCATGCAGAGCCCTCTCTGTTGGCACGCAAGCCAAGTTGCCCCAGCATCGCCCCAGCAGCCAAGCATTGAATAACAGCACACACAGGGGCCATGCGCATGCTCAGAAAGGAGTTGTGGTGTGAGGTGATGACATCATGTGCCGCGACACTTTAGCCACAACTCATCTGAGCTTTCCCATGGCTGGTCAGCGCGCTGCCAGGAGATATAGATATAGATATATTTGCTTGGACTGGCTGTAAGTTGTTTTTTCTAAACTAAAACCTCAGTATTCAGGTTTTATGGCAGTGTTGGCACTTTGCGATAAATAAGTGGGGTTCGGGTTGCAGTTTGGGCACTCGGTCTCTAAAAGGTTCGCCATCACTGCCCTAGAGCTTTAACAACAGCTTAAAGTGAGGCTTGTCACAGTGTGGTGTATGGCCATTGTCTGCACATGATGTTGCAGTGAAATGCGCAGTGCAGAACCTGTTGGACCTGCCAGGAGCTTGCAGATCCAAGAACCTTTTACTCCTCTCTTATGTTCCTTTCCCAGATTTGGGAGTCCCTGACCTGTTTGCCTGAGCAATAGCTGAAGAACAATGTGCGAGATTCTATGGGAACTTCTTGAATTTCCTTACCCAGTTGCTGCTGGGAAAGGAGAGGATCTAGTCACATAAGAAATGCCGGGCTTTCCCCCAGGAGACCCCAAATGGGGTGCTCTTTCTAAAATAAATTGCTTCTAGCCTTTAAGAAGTGGGATGCTTTTGTCCAGAAGCGTGATGACCTTTCCACTATTCTAGCAGGCCTCCATCCCTCTCTTCTTCTCTCCTTTTATTCTTTTCTCTTGCACATAAATGAAACAACAGTGCAACAGGATCCACAGCGGCCTTCGCTCCGGCATCGTTGTCCTTGGCAACGGAAAAGGCATCATCCGTAGCAATCAAATATATGGAAATAAGGAGGCTGGCATTTACATTCTCTATAACGGCAACCCTCTGGTGAGGTACGTGATGGAACAGCTGCATTCCTTATTGTGTTTTGGCGTCATTTCAGCTGCAAAACGCCTCTGCCCGCAGGTGGGTTGCTGCTTTTCGCATCTACTGAGAGTGGGAGGAGGTTACTGTACCCACCTGTGTTTCTTCTGTTGCCTTCTGTGTTGAGGAGAGCCATTTGCATACAGTGCCCTGGGAGACTCTCAGGCCCTCAGAAACTCATCAGGACGCCCTGCAGGAGAGGATCAGAAATGGTGTGGGGAAGGCAGGAAGCCCTTGCCCATTGGACGATCCTGTTGAGCAGGAGGGGCCAGAGCTCAGTGGCCTGCAGATGGTCCCAGCTGGGATCCTAGCATCTCCAGACTGGGGTGGAAACATTCCTGCTTGCATCCCGAAGAGGTGCTGTGATGACAGTACTTGCCTGGAGGGACCAAGACGTGGCTCAGTCTGCATAAGGAAGCTCTCTCTATTTTGCTGAAGTGGGTGGGAGTTTTCTAGTTCATGCAGTGAGGCAGGAGTTGGGCATATGCTCTGGAATGGCCTTCCCCAACCCACTGTCTTCCCTCCAGATGTCTTGGGCTGTAACACATATCCCCATATGGGATCAGCCTCCCCTAAACAGGCATTAAAGTATGAGGGTCTTGCTCTCCCCTCTCTTTTGCACATCTGGCCACCCTCCGGCAAGTTCAGCATAGCAGCTACACTTTGAGGATGGAGAGGGCCTCCTCAGTGCAATGTGGCCGCACTGGCGGGGGATGATGGGTGCTGCTGTCAGCACATCTGGAAGGAGGCTGCCGGGCTGGGGAAGACTGTTTGCAAAGAGGCTGCAGTGATCTTTGTAGCAGGTAGGGGTTCCTTTGCAGAGCAGTAAAGGGCTTTTATCACTGAGGGCAAAGCAGGACAGGGTTCCTGGGCTGCCTTAAGAGTTGAGAGGAAGAGAGGGTTGTGGGAACTGCTGCTCGTTGTGCACCTGCTGAAATGGCTGACCTTAAAAGTTTGAGCATCTTTAAATATTCAGATACGTGATATTCTAGGTAACATTTGTTCAGGACCCCTTGGTGTTTTTAATGTAACCTTTATGTATATTTTTATTCTCTCTCTCTCTCTCTCTCGCTCCTCTTTTCTTTCCAAATTTTACTGTTATTAAAATAAAATTATAAAAAAGTTTGGGCATCTGTCCCCAAGCTACTACTTTTCAGGAGTAGAACTCCCATCTCTGCTGCTTTGTGCATACTGGGAGTTGTGGTTCGATCCATCTGGAGAGCACCAGGCTGGAGAAAAGTGGTTTAGGTATTATTAAAGAGACTTGCTTTTCCTTTTACTTCTGGTCACCCTCTGACATGTTTAGCAAAACTGGTCTTGAGCTTCGATAGGAAGCAATCCACACTGGTGCCTCGTGGCTAACGGGGCCCAGTGAAGATATGAAGAACCACAGTCCTGATTTTGTTCTTCAGAGGGCTGCCTTATTAGTCAAATCCTCTATTAACATGTGTTTATTTGCTAAAACCAGCTCCCATTTCTTGTCTGCTTCATGCTTAGGACTTGGGCAAGCAGTGCTGCCTCTCAGTTACAGACAGTGCTTGTTTTGAGACGGGTGCCGGAGCTCCAGTCAAGCTCAAAAGAATATAATCACAGGGCTTTGGATACACACACGGACGCACACCCAAGCACACGCACCACCCCTAGACAGGCGCACACTTCCATTTGAGAGCCGCTCGTTCCAGCATAATAGCTCGATTGACAAGCGCGAACCAGAGGTTAGCAATCTACAAACCAAAGGGTCAAGGCCGGGCTCTTTTCTGAAGCTGATGGAAAACAAACCTGTCAAACGACTTGCTCTTTCCAAATAGGCAGCTGTCTCAGGCCCAGATGATGATGATGCAGATAATCAGCCTAGCAGAAATGTGTGTAAAAGAACAAGCGGTTCAGCATTGAGTCTTCATTTCTCTTTCTAGGCACAACATCAACAGCACCTTGTCAAACCCCCGCGCGAGTCTATTATAATTGTTTAAAAACAAGAGGAAACAAGAGGTGGTTGCACTGATGATCTAGTCTAGCAGTTCATGCAGGGAGAAGAGGCCGCTTGTGCCCAAAGAGATGCGGTTGCTACTTTTAATTATTCCCAAGCAGCCTGCATGTATGCCAGAGTGAATTCTCACAGGCCCGCACACAAGTCAGCGTGCTTGTTTGCCTGGCATTCGGAAGCACTCTCGTGCAAAAGGGCGCATTTGCAGAAAGGGAAGGCGGGGGCTTTGGGACTATGCTGGGGCTTGTTTGGGAGTGTGCCACACTGCACCATCCATCAGGAAGGCCATTGTTAGTGAAGTTGAGGCAGATTATCCCAGACTTCCCTGTGGTTCTGCATCTTAAAGTGAGCTACCCATCTTCTCTCTCTGTCTCTCTCTCTCTGTCTCTCTCTCTCTGTCTGTCTCTCTGTCTGTCTTTCTCTCTCTCTGTCTCTCTCTGTGCAGTGCATAGGAACACTGGTTTTGAGTACATTATAGGAAGGTGTAGAAGACCCTCTTTCCTCATATAACACACAGAAATGTCACAGGGTATTGTGCCCTTCTCTAACCTGATTTCCTCCAGATGTGTTGGACTACAATATCTGTCATTCCCAGATGTTCAATGTAACATCCCAACACTTGGAGAGCAGGGTCATCTGAAGGTATAGCTCCTCTCATATTTACCTGCTTGGACATCTATCTGAGACCCTGATTCAGCTCCTTTCCAAATAATATGAGGCAGGGGCTACAAAAGAAAGGTGCCCTTCCGTGGTGGCAAGCCCGTTCTGGAGTAGATTTTCCCCAGGAACAGTTACTTAGTGGCTATGATAGGCTCTTTTTGGCTCTAGGTGGAACCTTGTTTGGTCTCTCCATCAATGCAAGAACTGTTCTCAGCACTTTTCAGTAGCTGCACTTTATGATTACTTTGCTTTTATGTGCAGGAGAGTTTTTATTCTTTGCTGCTGATCTTAGGCAAAGCTCACTCCATCTTTACTGCAAAAGGTAGTGATGGCCAGCAATTTGGATAGTTTTAAAAGAGAATTAAACAGTTTAATGTAAGGTAAAGCTATCAGTGGATACTATTCTGTATCCGCAGTAGACTTTTTAGAAATAAATAATTGATGTTTATTGTAAAATTTCAGCTAAACAAAAAAGAGGAAACTACAGCTACAAAGGTTTGAATGTATCAATTACAATGCATGGATCTGAAATGTGCATGTGTATATTTTGTGTATATACACTTGAACACACAGACATACACATACATGCATTAGTGTGTGTGCATGTTAAAATAATTTATTCTAAGCATTATACATAAACTTCAGCAGAAGTGACCAAATATTCATATAAGAGTCAATTCACAAGTGGGGTCTATACAGTACCCAGTTGAAAATCTTGTTAGGTCCTCAATTCATTGCACTATAGGAGGCGAGCATTTATCCTGTTTGTGTTGTAACAGGATTCTTTTAGCTGTCAAAAGGGCACCTAAAATGTATTTATGCTGACCACACACTAACCTCCTGGAGGCAATTTGATAACATAAGAGAATAGGGGTATCAGTAAACAATAGTGCTGCAACACAAGGTTTAGCCATATAATAACCCTCCCCCTGCAAAGAACAGACAACTATTGGACATTGCTAAACATGTGTTTAAAAGAAGCAATAGCTGGTTTGCATCTCTCACCATTTAACCAACTTAAACAACCACTTATGAAAGATACATTTTAGTGTTCATTAATCACAGAAAAAGAGCTTTTCTGTATATGATGTAACCTGAGATCCATAGAAGCTTCTGACACAGATAACAGAGCAGTGATTTATGTATTAAGGAAAATGGGTAATTCAGTTCCTCACTCTATTCTTGCTTAAGACCCTGGATTTCATGTTTATTCTCCAGTAATGTTTATAGACATGGATTGTGGGTCAATGTGAATGACTGGCCTTGAGAAACACTTCCAATAACAAGGGAGTGAGAAAGTATAAAAGCATCAGGGCCAAACCTAGATTCTAACAACTGCTGTAATTGCAAGTATTGCCATTCGGACATAGCAGGCAAACTTGTTTTGGCACACAAAGCAGGGATGGCAAAAGGGACTCAAATCACCACATCAGCAGCACTGAGGTGATTTGCCCCCTCCAGTACCAGTGATGGTAAGCCTATGGAGGCCAGTTGTGGAGAATGTGAATGGGTGAAAGTTGCTTGTGGGTTTTGTACAGACGGGTGGTTAGCCAGGTAGCTCTGCTTAGGTCCTTGTCCTGGCTTTATGATGTGCTGGTTTTTGTCATTGTTTTATTTGTTACGTTTTATATTTTTAATATATTGTACAAGTCCCTGATTAACTTAATTGTAGTTCAGGATCAAACGTAAAATTAAAGACAAATTCAAGAATCAAGAAAGTTCCCTTGATCTACTTCAGCAGTTTTCTTCCCATTTATAATGAACGATTCTTGCTCTCTGAGCAATTGGATGTTACACCAATCTTTCCGAAATATCTTCTTAGCTTCTCAAGTGTCTTATTTTTCTATTTTGATGTTGCACAGTTTTATCCTCTCTACTCAAAACGTCTTGTTGTCATTATACACTTCAACCATTTTACTTTTAATAATGGTAATTAGAATGTGATATGAAATAATGATTGCCAAATTTTCTACCTTTGGGGAATGCTTCCTGCACTGACTTACCTGCTTTGGAGCTCCTAAGCATCCGCTGCTTAGGAAGAGGTAGCCTGAAGTTCCTGATCCTGCCTAATCTTGGAAGCTAAGTAGAGTCAGGCTGGGTAGAAATCAGGATGGGTGTCTTGAGTCCTGTTCAACAATACTGCAGCTGAGAAGGATCTTGGAATTGTTGTAGATCACAAGCTGAATATGAGTCAGCACTGTGATGTGGCCTCAAAAAGGGCGAATGCCATTTTAGGCTGCATTGAGAGAAGTATCACTTCCAAGTCACATGAAGTGCTAGTTCTCCTTTACTCAGCACGGGTCAGACCTCACCTGGAATAATGTGTCCAGTTCTGGGCAACACCATTTAAGAAAGATGAAAACTGGAAAGGGTTCAGAGGAGGGCATCAAGGAACTGGAAACAAAGCTCTGTGAGGGGAGATTGAAAGAACTGGGCATGTTTAGCTTCTGAGAAGAGATAATAGCACTCTAGAAGTATTGGAAAGGCTGTCACAGAGGTGAAGGACAGGATCACTTGATCATCCAGGGCACAGAATAATGGGCTCAAGTTGCAGAGAGCCAGATTCTGGCAAGATATCAGGAAAAGTTTCCTGACCGTTCGAGCAGAATGGCAGTGGAGCCAATGGCCTAGGGAGGTGGTGGGCTCTCCAGCACTAGAGGCATTCAAGGTGCATCTGGACTGCCTGCTCAGAGGGATGGCTTAACTTGGTGTCCTGCACTGAGCAGAGAGTTGGACCCAGCGGCCCACTAACTCTCCTATGATTCTATGACATTGTAGGTGAATTAAATTAATTTTTAAAAGTCATCGTCTGGTTTGCCGTGTGGCGATCACTTTGGCCATGGTGATCTTCATCTGCGAAATAGGAATATTAATTGGTTGCCTCCAACCAGGTCTTCGTGCATCTCTACTACCTGCTTGGAGAGTTTTGTGTTAGAATTCTAGTTCTACTGGTATTTGGATGGAGATTTGAATAGTAACTCTGCTGAAGCCTCGCCCTGCCTCTGCTTATTTAATTTATGATTAGTAAGTTCTCATGAAATGCAAATTAGATCCCAAAAGCCTGATGGCTGCCCATCCCTGGCACAGATGACCCACTCTGCTTGGATAGTTGGGTAAAAGACAGAGAGGTTGACTGAACACTTTATAGGACCAAGAGCTGTTTTATGTGTTGCCCTGGAGTGAAGGTCTTGCTCTTTTTTCTTTAGTCCTGTTTTGCCTGCAGTAGCTGCCTGCTCTAGCCAGCACAAATGATGGTGTTTGATGAGGGGAGTCAGAGGTTGGCTCATTTGGAGGGGCCTACCTGTACCTGAGCACAACAAGAAGGAGGGGAAGCCCATACAGGACTAGTCCTAGTATTTTGGCTGCTGAGGCAGAACATGCAAATGATTCCCTAGGCTAATATACGTAGATTAGATTTGTATTTTTCCTTCCCACCCTCCAAAGAGTGCTGGCAAACTTATCCCATGAAGGACCTTAGAAACTCAGAGGGGTTGACTGGGCTGGTTGGCTTCATAGTCCAGCAAGGGGTTGTATCCAGGTCTCCCTGGTTCAGTTCCTAAGACTCCTGGCATTAAACCACACTGGCTGCTGTTAAGGAATGGATGAATGACCACACTGAGGAATTGCTGCCCTTTCTTGAGAAACCACCCCAGCCTGGCTCTGACTCTTGCGCTGGGAAGAAGCCCTGTACTGTTTGTGCTACGCTGAAAAGCAGCCAAGTTTGTTGATAAAGTTTTGATTTCTCCCTCAAGACTCATAGGCCTGCTCCACCCAGCCAACTATCCTGGACACGGACTGGCAGAGGCGCTCCAGGGTTTTAGGTGGGAGCTGTTCCTAGCCCTACTTGGAAATGCCGGGATGGAACCTGAGACCTTCCTAGCCCTGAGCTACAGAGAGGGACAGAAAGAGGAGGCCAGATGCTACTTTATGTATTGGGGATAAATCCCTGTTGGCATTTCTGCAGCAGCAGCGAGTCCTTTAACAGAATGAAGGAGATCCTTTTGTAAGCAAATGTAGGGAAGAACTGTATAAATGACAAACTTCTTTCCTCCCTGCTTTCTGTTCCAGCGGGAACCACATCTTCCAGGGTCTTGCTGCTGGCATAGCTGTAAATGAGAATGGAAGAGGGCAAATTACAGGTATGGAAAGGAAAAGGGGGTATTTTGTGCAGGATGGGCAATAGGCCTGATGACAAGCACCTCGAGACATTGAGTTCTCCTTTTGAATTTTTGTAATGGTTTTTTTTTTTTTTTTTTTTTTTGATTTCACACCCTCCAACACACAGAATTTTGGTTGGTTCACATCATATGATCTCTGTAATCCTTAACAACCCTGCAAGGTAGGCCATTGTTGTTAACCCCATTTTAAAGACAGGAGGCTGACTTGCCTAAAGCATCCTGAGTTCACAGCTGAAGTGCTGTTTGGCCTTCACCCCAACACTGCTCTAGCAGAGTAGGAACATCTGCTCAGCATTTTAAGGTGGCTTCTCTTGCCCCATTGGCACATCTGCCTGCCAGGTCTTTTCTTAATGGGCGTTTCGTTGGGGGTCTGTTGTTCTAATCAAGGATCCTTGCAGACTGCTAGCACATGCATAACGCTGGTGCATGTTTGCCCTGTTGGAAGGTGGGGTGCAGAGACTGACTTGACCAAAATTGGTATTTTCATTTCACGTGCATTTAATTGCTCTGTGCCCAGCCTTTTCTGAACTGCAGAATCTTGTGAATCCCCTTGTTAACCCACGTACTTCATCCTGCTTCAGAAAATGTTATCCGTGAGAACCAGTGGGGCGGTGCAGATATCCGTCGTGGAGGGGATCCCGTCCTCAGAAGTAACCTGATCTGCTGCGGGTATTCAGATGGAGTGGTGGTTGGAGAACGTGGGAAAGGACTCATAGAAGGAAACACCATCTATGGTAACCCTGCACTGTCAGCTGGATTTCTTTCCCTCCATTTCTCTGTGTCTTGTGTGGCCTGGTGAGTGTCATAGCGGAGTCCTCCAGGGAGAATTCTAGCATCCAATTTCAAAATGGAAGATGGCTCATTTCAGGCATCATGTTTTTCTAGGTCAACATTATCTGGAGCAATTTTCATGCTTCACCATTTGGGGATTGGGAGAATCTTGTCACCATAACTAGAGTCTGACTTGAGAAGTGTTTGGCTCTTCTAGATCACCGTGTTCTGCAAATAATGCTTTGCGAGACGCCTAAGTTGTCTGATAACGCTGCAGAATACAGAGCAGTGGATCAATTCTTCCCTTGTTTTGGGTCAGCATTTGGTATAGGGATGCCCTACTTTTTTCTCCAACTACTGATTGCCTGATGGTCTCCTGGCTTTTGTGCCGTTCTCCTCACCATTTGGAAGGTTAAAATGTCTCTCCCATAGTTAAGTTCCTGGCAAGAAGAAAACTAAGCTAAAAATGCTGGTATTTTTTCTGTTTGGCCCCACCTCTTCTGTATTTGGCCCTGCCCTGTTTTCCTTCCGCCCCACCTATTTCTAGAATGCAGCCCCAAATGGAATTTGGTCCCCAGACCAAAAGAGGTTCTGTATCCCAAGTTTAGATGCTATGCATACACTGTACAGCAAAACTGACATGTTTTCTCCCCCTTCTACAGGGCCTTCACAGCAGTGCCAAAGTTGGTAATGCCTGTAAAACTCCTTATGAGTTTCAGCTTTAGAGCAAAGGGATGTCTCTTGGCCCAGGCTTGTCAGATTCACTGGTGTATGTTGAAATTAAGCTCTCGCTTAATTTCAGAAGATTGTGCGCAAAGGCCCAGCAAACATCCCTGAAGCCAACAAACTGCTCCTTTACACTGTCCCCAGAAGAGAAATATCCCCTCAGGTAGAGTACACAGGTAGAAAAGAAAAGAGGTTTCAAATCACCTGTCAGTCTCATCTCTGCAGTGACAGAAATTTCCAAGTTGTGTTGTAGGGCTGGGAGTGAGGAAGGGAGGTTTCTCTTTCACCACTGTTCTGGCAGGATTTGCATAGAGATCTCTCACTCCAGGGAAGGTTTCTCACAGCCAGCCTCGTCCATTTTCTCCCTCTGAGTATCGCATGAAAGACTGTGTATCTCATGATGATTTGTTGTTTCCTTGATGGAAATTAGAAATCTGTTAGAGAGTGGGATTCTAGTCCACACCAGCAGAACAACAATATCTGCCTTGTCAGTAGAACCTGGGAACTTATTGCTGCTTCTCTGTGGGGTTCTGGTGTCACTTTTTTATTATTTATTTTATTTATTAAAACATTTTTATGCCGCCCCATTCACCGAAGCCTCGGGGCGGCTTACAAACAAACTTTTTAGTCGTGTCAAGACCAGGCCAGGCCTCATGGGTGCCTGAACTGGGTGCTGAATTATGAGCATTCAGCTGCCACCTCGGACCAAGAGGGTTCTCAGTTCAGGCCCTTGAGTCTCTTGAATAAAGAGCTGATGGGAAGGCTGGCCAGTTTCATAGGATCCTAGAGCTGGAAATTATCGCAGAGTTCATCAGGTCCAGTCCCATGCTCCATGCAGGCTCTGTGCTCCAGCTTTCAGCCACGGCACCTCTGACAGACACCAACCCAGCTTTGCTTTAATGCCTCCGGTAAGGGGCAGCTCATCTCCTCCTGAGGCAACCTGTTCCACTACTGAACAGCTCTCACCACTAGGAATTTTCTCTGAACGTTTAACCCAAATCTGCTTCCCTGCAGTTTCCACCCGTAGGCTCCAGTCCTGCCCATGGGAGCAAGAGAGAACGCATCCGCACCACCTTCTGCATGACCAGCCTCTCTGATCTCCCCTTAAACTTCTATCCCATACCTTGGATGAGAGAAGTTTGCATGTTTCTCTTCTGTTGTGTAGGTAACAAGGGCTGCGGTGTCTGGATAATGTCATCCAGCCTCCCTCACATCACGAACAACCAAATTGGGCACAACAGCATCTATGGGATTGCGGTGTTCTGCCGCAAGGACGACGCCAACGACTACCTCGCCAGTCAAGGGGGCAATGAGAATTTCAATGACGAGGGCGAAGCCACCAACTGGGAGAATGACCCGGAGAGTGAGGACGAGTGCGTGGCCTCCCGCAGGCCCATCAGCGTGGCCCTTGTGGAGTCAAACAACATCAACCACAATGGGGGTGAGTGCTGGGGCGGTTTGCAACCTCTCGTGTCTGCAAGGAAGACACCCAAACAAAGAGGTTGCAGAGAAGCCTCACAATGCCCAGCAGCCAGCCCCTCTCTCGCTGATGGAAGTCTTGGTCGCTCGACTCCTATCACCCTTGTCTGGTCACCACCCCTTCCCAACACACTTTTCTGATGCAAGTTGGGGGGTGTTCATTTGAAAAGGCCACTTTATAGGGGGGATTTAGAAACTTAAAAAAAACCCTTTTGAGATTTTTGTGTCATTGTGTAAGTATTGTGAGTGCCATCTGCAAATAACTCCCACGTGTAGTTCGAAAGGTGAGAAACCTCACGTGCCTCTTAAAACATGGCTTGTTTGCACAAGTTATGCTTGCCCTGGCACAGGTGGCCTGTTACTGTCCTACACATCTCTAGATGAGGAAAGGTCCTACAATTCCCATCCAGCCCCTAAGCCATAAACAGTTTTATTCCACTCAGCTAACAAAGGCCTTCAAACAGCTTACATGCAAGCAGTAAGACAAGACAAACTGTTCCTTCAGTTTTACATTTTTATTTCAATGGCACACAAGGAAGAAGGGAAGGGAAGGGAAGAGGAAAAATTGAAGTAGTCTTTCAGCGGGGGGATTGTGTCACTGCTCTGTTTTATTGTCTTTGCTGCAATGTTTTTAATGAGATGTTACCTTGCATTGTTTTTCTATTATATGTGCATTTTAGTGTGAACTGCTTAGAAAGTTTAGCAGCCATAGCCAGTGGTCCGGGACAGTGGGAGTTGTGGCCAAAGCACCCAGAGGGTTCTGCAGGGCCACCTGCTGTCAAGCCTTGTAACCCTTTGGCTTCCCTGTGGGTGCCGCCTTCCTGGGTTCCTGTTGCTTCTTGCCCCCCTGAAGGGGGCTTAGTGATTGTGTGCACAGAGTGCTTTCTCCCCCTCCATCCACAGCAGCCGGCTTGTATGTCAAGAGCAGCGAGGCCCTGAACATCGTAGGAAATGCCATCCATGCCAACCAGGACTGTGGGGTAACCGTCCTCCAGAGCTCCCAGCTCACACGAATAGCCAACAACAGCATCTCCTGCAACAGCCTCGGCGGGGTGCTGGTGGAAGCCGAGTGCCGGGTGGAGCTGCGCGGCAATGGCATCTATGACAACAGCAGCCATGGCGTCACCTCCCGGGGCGAGGGGCTCATCGCCGAGAATGACATTCTGGGCAACCAAGGGAGCGGCCTCAAGCTGTTGCAGGCGGCAGACATGAAGGTGTGGGCATCAATGAAATGCACCAGCTTATTGATTATTGACTTATTTATTAGATTTGTATCCCACTTCCCCCCCCAAGAAACTCAAAGCAGCTTATCTTTCTCCTCCTGCTGCTCTCAGTCTTATCCCCACAACAGCAACCCGGTGAGGTAGGTTGGGCTGAGAGTCTGTGACTGGCTCAAAGTCCCCCAGTCGCTCCATGGCTGAGTGGGGGCTAGAACCCGGATCGCTTGAGTCCCAGTCTCGCGCTCTTAACCACTGTGCCACGCTGACTCTCTTGCTCATATTTACATCCCACTCTTCCACCAGGGAGGGTTGAAGGCACAGGATGGTTTCCTTTTGTCTTCCCCAATACCTTTGCTTGCATATTACTACATTTAGACCCTGCCTGGTTTTGCTCTGGCATGAATCCAAGGCACCTTAAGTGGTCTTCCTCCTCTGCATTTCCTCTTACAACAACTCAGCAGGGTAGGCTAGTGACTGGTCCCCAGTCACCCAGTGAGTTTTATGCTCGAATAGGGACTAGAACCTGGATTGTCCGAGTCTTGCATTCCCATGACTGTACCACACTGGCTCACAGCTGGCTTGGTCCAGGGGGACAAATACTGAGTGTCCTTGTTAGCCAGCCAAAATAAGTTCACACTCTTTCTCTGCCCTTCTCCGGAGGGAAGGTGACCCGGATTGCCAGATGCTGTGCTGAGTTTGAGAGCCAGTAGTCCTGCCCAGACAGCAACATCCCAAGCCGTTCTCAGGTTCAGGAGAGGGATGGAAGCTGTTCCCACGGCATAAAACTCAAACCCTCCTGAATCTGCAAGGCATTTGATGGCTCTGAAACTCAGTGCAGCAGCCGGAGAAGCTTCTGTCATTCTCGTGTGCTTCTGAAGTGTTGCCCTGGTACCAAAGGGAAACTTTGTCCTTCTCGGGGCACAGAAGAACACTTCTTGATCTGCTCCTTGGTCCTGTGCTCTCACCTGAGCAAAGCAAAAACAAAACACTTGCCAGTGGTGAGCCCATGGGTGCATCGTGAGAAGATGCTCTCCTACCTGTCCATATACAATCCAGGATTCCTTCTGTGTAATGCCTCCATGAATCTCACTTAATGCAGTATCTGAACACTCTGGCACTCGATCAGAAGTCATGCTGAGATCCACTTCTTAAAAAGGAAACATGTTTCTGGTCCTCATGGTTGTTTCTACGAGTAGGGGGTAGATGACTTCTCTGCTTTTGTCCAGCATAGTCCTCTCCTCTCCTCTCCTCTCCTCTCCTCTCCTCTCCTCTCCTCTCCTCTCCTCTCCTCTCCTCTCCCAGTTCTTTTCCCTTTTTAATTCAGAAGTGAAGAAGTGGTGATGTGGGGACAGGACTATCTGCTTAAGCCTCCAGTTGTAGGGCTACTTTCATGCGTTCAGCAGAATTAAGAGGTAAAGCACAGGATCACCCCTTGAGGTTCCAGGACAGAGTGAGGATTTGAACCCAGGTCTCTGTAGTGCCACACCCTGCCCATTAATACTGCTCTGGTTTCCTGCGATACGACATATGCATATGCATACACATTCAGAGACCCGCAATGTATTGGATGGGGTAAAAATACCCAAATAAATAAATAAATAAATAAACATGCTGTTTTTCATCTGCCTTCTGGCAGGAAACCACTACTTACCCCAAGAGAAGTTATAGAACAAGTAAACAGTTCTGAATGGTCCTTGGAGGTTCTGCTTCTGTACAGAGAGATTTAGTGAGGAATGTTGGTCCCAGAAAATGACAGACACAAAGGGGACAAAGTGTTCACTGGTATGAGAGCTCCATTTATTAACAAACATGCATAATCAAATCAAATAATTTAGGCAGTAAGCTTTTGTAATCGTTTATTGTTTTCTTGAAAGAAATAAAGTACAGGAAGGAAGAGAAATGTAAGAGAAAAATAAGGATGCCAAGGGATCTTACACAAACATAATATATACATTCATAACCTGCAGCTATCCCAAAATCCCCAAAATTTCTATCTTTCTGTCTGTACTTTGTTGAAGCTCGCAGAAAAGGCAGGAAGCATTTTTCCACTGTTAATATGGCCTTTCCATGTTCTAGTCACCAATAAATACCTGCATGTTGTCTTGGCAATTCCTGTCAGCTTCGTAGTGTCACGTAGCTGGTTTGCAGCTGGCAAACAAAAATCCGCTTTACCTTAACATTGGGGTATTTGTTGAGCTTTTTCACCCAGTTTTCCAGTTTTCTCCCACATCGCCCTGCTGACTCCTTCTCTCAGGGTATAACCAGCAGGGCCCTGAGCACTGGATGAAGTATCAGCAATGCTTGCTGTGGTCTTGCTGTTTTAGGGTCCTAGAAGTGGGACGTGCAGAGTAGTGTCCCCGTGTATCCTCACCCCTATAACAAGAGACGGCCATAGAGAGCCCGCAGTAGGGCTTGTTTACTGCTGTTCAGGCCTCAGAAAGAGGTGGGAATTTGAGGAATGAGGAAGGGGGCGAGGACAGCTTTTCCCCCACACTTCCCTGCCGCTTTTTGTCTGCTTTGCTATATGGCGCTAGAAGACTGCCAGCCACGACCTGGAACATTTTATGTCTACATGGGGAGGGGAAGGGAGTGTGGAGATCTGGAGAGTGAGAAGAGGTGTTGTTCCTCAGCCACAGAATATACATGATCAAAGAAAGCACAACCTGCGCCCCCCTGGTTTCCAGTGCTTCCCCACCTCACACACAAGCACAACTGGTGTTTTGTGCCTCGGCCGTCCACAACCATAGAATCAATACGTGTGCTCACACAGGTGTCCTCACTTCTCCTTCATTCTGATCAGTCTTTCATAGCTTGGTGTCCTGCAAGATGCCCTGGTCTATAACACGCATCTGGGGATGGTGGGAGTTGTAGTCAGCACATCCCTGTGGGTTGGAGGCAGACTGTGCTAAAGGCCAGATGGAGGGAGCTGGGCTGGGGAATTGCGGCCCGACAAAACTTGAGAGCACCTGGTTTGGAAGTTTGCTTTAGGTTTTTCCTTTCTGTATTGGATCAACTGCTACCAGCTTTTCTTAGGTCTAGAAGCTTAAGGGTCTTTGTTTTGATTTTTTTAAAAATTATTAGCTGAGGGTCCCCCAAGTATGTCACTGCTCTGTTTTTTTCCTCCTTTGCCAGGTAACCAGGAATAGGATCCACTCCTTTCGAGGTTATGGGATTGAGATGCTTGACCAGACCAAAGCCTTTGTGCAGGACAATCTGATTTTCCAAGGGAAGTCCAAAAAGGGCATTTTGCAGCAGGTGTCCAGCATGGAAGGCTGTGTTGTTCTGAACAACAAGCTCCTTGCCTTCAAAAAACGGTATGGCCGCGTAGCTGTCGTGTGACTGCAGTGAATGAAAAGCCTTGCCAAAGACTTCCATTGCGTTGTTATGAAAGCCCGCAAGGAATTCTGGGAACTGTAGAGGCTTTTGATCTTTGTAAGAGAGATGCTATTAAGAACACAAGGACTACAGTTCTCAGGGTTCTGTGTGTCCCTGGTGGAGGGACTAGAAAATGCATAAAAAGCCATTTTTTGTTTGCAGTGTACATTTTTCCTAAGAGACATGCTACGGTAGTTTTTAAATCTGATGTATCTGTAGGATAAATTTTCCAAGTTACTTGTAACAGGATGTTTTTCGTTTCTAGAAGTAAACGGTGACATTAGTTTTGATAGTGCATCCTAAACCAAGACTTCTCCAGCTCAGCACCCTTTAGTTGTGTTGGACTAAAACTCTTGTCATGGCGTTGGTTCTTGCTGACCAGTAAAAAGATTAGTCCGATGCACCTTGGTGGTCCCAGGTGTGAATGATTCTGAAGAATAAAGGAAAGATTCTCTCTTACCTGTCCATATGTAGCACAGGATTTTCTTTGTGCAAAGCCTTCATGAATGCCATGCAATGTAGTGTCTGAATATTCTGGCACTGACTGAAAATCATCCTGAGGGTCATTCCTTAAAAGGAGTACATGTTTCTGGTCCTCATAGTTGTTTCTATGATTAGGTGTAAATGGCTTCTCTGCTCTTGCCCACCATAATTCCTCTCTTAAGCTCTTGGTTCCTTTCTCCTTTTAATTCAAAAGTGAAGATGTGGGGACACCATCTGCTTAAACCTTCCAGTTGAAAGTCACTTTTATGTGTTTGGCAGAATTAAGAGGGAAAACTTCTCTGGGATTGAACTGTAGATGGAAAGTTATGTCTCGAATGTTCCCTGTGCAGAGAAATATTCTCCTTACACACAGAAGAATTGCATGTCATGAGGAGGCTATGCCGAATTGTTTCCCTAACATGATGGGGTCTTTTAAAAACTTTAAAAAATCATTTTCTTAAAAGAAATAGAAAACAGAAAATAAGAGAAAAGTAAAAGAACAGTAAGAATGACATGCTGGTTGGAGCCCTTGGTGCCTTTGGAGGGACAAAGGCAGCACCAGTGTCGTGCACCACTGGCGTGCCAGAGCAACCTGCGCTCAGTTGGGTGTCCTCTCCTTGTTTCCTCTCCAGAAAAGCACATTCTGCCTTTTGGAATTAATCCTGACACTATCTCCTTCTTGCGAGGATGGCACATTGCTGAGTATGTGATGCCTTTGCATTTTTACAGGTCTGATGTTGGCTGGACCCTGGAGAATCCTCCAGCGAGACCTCACATTGAAGGATCCTCCCGAGGCTTATCAACAGCTGGGAACAGCCAGAAAGGCTCAAGCATGACAGCCAGGCTAGCTGCCAGAGTGGATGGGGGTTGCCACAACAATGGGAGCATCTTTTGCACAATTCTGTGAATCCTGCACATTTTCCTCTGCCTTTTCTTTTCCTTGGAGACTTTCCTGTGAGATTCCATTGCCCAACCCAACGAGATTGCGTTCAGATGCTCCTGTTCGGTCTACTGTGGCAATGGCCACTCATCTGTGGTGGGAGTGTCAATGGAGGTGTGTTGACAGCTGGTGGTCACCCTGCCCAGCTGGCTTTGCTTCAGTCTGAGTTCCTCAGGACTCTTGCCTCCTGGGCCCCTATTACCTCCAGTCACCAGGCTTCCTTCAGTCTAGTTCAGCTGCAGCCCATCCCTGGGGTCATTTTAGTCAGAGAAAAAGTTACTCTCTGTGACATCAGCAGCCATTGGTCCAATCCTCTCTCTTCGCTCAGATCTTTTGTGTGTGTTAGTTTTTCAGAATTTTGTTCTGGGTCAAGGGAGGGGATTGGCTTGCTGGCTGCTGATGTCACAAAGCCACTTCATTTCACTCAAGCTGGGGAAACCTGCCCCCCCCCCGCTTTAGTTTTTCAGGGGCAGAGGGTGAGGTGGGGGCTCTTTTCTCGGTGAAAGGCTCCACTCTCTCTCAGTTGGTACCTCTCCTGCAAAATGGCTCACAGGAGGTGATGAGCAGACAGATTAAGAGGTGAGTAGATACTGTCCCTTCCGAAAAATAAGAGCTCCTCTGCTGTTTCATTCAATGTTTTTTCTCCTTTAAACGTTTACTTTTAGTAACTTGCCAAATCGCCACTTGGCCTGGATACCACAGTAATGCTGAATGTTGACAGAGCTGTCCTTGGCAGCCAGTGAAGGAGCCCTGTGATGGCTTGAAATCGACCTCCTTTTCCTTCCAGATATGGGAATTCTTTTCTTCTGTGCTGAGAAAACAGCCCTGGCTTATAGTACTATATTGTTTGGAGCATAGCAGAATAGTCGTGTCAAATGGACATAAACCAGAGCATAATCAGAATATGCTGATTTTTCAGGAAGGCCGAGCAATACACTCGGTCTCCTTTGAGTTGCTTCGTTGCATGCATTTTTCTGCAGAAGAAATCCAGGTACACAGCGAAAGATTTATCGCAAGGAAAACTACCTTGTAACATCTGACCAGCAGTGTCAAAATACGGAGATGTTGGATTTTAAAATAATGTGTAGGGAAAGTAAGAAAATGAGATTCCTGAAGAGTTTGTCGGGCTGAGGCTGCAGCCCCAAATTTGGCCTGGTTTTATGCAAGAGGACCAAACAAAGTACAATGAACTTGAACTTTTGAAAAGATCTAAATACACCTGCCATTTTGTGGTGGGAAAAGATAGGACTGAACCCCATTGATGGACTACATAATGAGATTGTCTGATTTATAAACTGAATACTGGTACTTTGACTAGCTAGAAAGATTGGGGGGAAGTTAATGCTGTGGATTAACCTATTGACTTGTGTTTGAGGCCTTTTATGAGTTTGTGAGGAACCAATGTCTGTCTCTCTCATAGAAGTGGAACTTAGTTTAGCATTTCCCTTACCCCTTTTCTTTGCAGTGCTCCTGAATCTTCATAGTTGCATGTCAGGCAGTAATGCACCAGGTGAAGGATCCCCCATTACCGGCTTCATGTCAGGATCTCCAAAGAGAGTCTGTTTTCTGTCTGCTGTGCAGCATCAAAAGCAGAAAAACCCTGCTGGAGTGGTTGGTATTGGTGGAAGCCCTACACTTACATGGCCCAAAGCTTGACAGGAAGAATCGTTGTACAACAAAATAACCTGAGAAGGAAATAAATATTTTTCTGCTTATATTACCTCTCACCCATTAATGGCTTTCTTCTGGCCTGCTACAGCTTTGGGATGATGGGACTTACAATCCAGCCCATCTTGAGGGCACCGCACTGGGGAAGGGCCCTGCAGCACACGCATGCAGACGCACCCCCCCAGGAAGAGCTTCATCTGTGTGGTTGCACCATGACCACTTGGGTCTTCTTGTAGAACGTGATTTTAGGAGCCTCTGCTCTTGTGCTTTTAACAACAGGGTGGTCTGCAGGAGGACTTGCTGTCCAGTTTAAAGACATGCAGCTAGATGGATTGTAGGAATTTTGGTGGATTGATTTACTGCAACATAAGTTGGCCTATGAGATGAGCACTTTTCTAAGGAACACTTTCAGCAGATCCATGCAGTTATTCTTGGAAGAAGCGCAGCCCATTCTCCTTTATGCAGGAGGAAAATGCCTTTATGATTAATCTTTTCATTTACTGCATTTTTACTTGGGTAAACAGTAACAATAAATAAATCAGGTTGTGCTGCTTTTTAGTTGACCTTTAAAAAAATTAGCCAATTTAGTGGTGGACGGTACTACTCTTCATGTGCAGACAGCAGCAGATGCTAATATTCATCTCTATGCTATGGGAAGTTTGGTGTTCAAAACATGGAAGGCCAGAAAATTTTACCCATCTATTTGGTATTCCTGCCTCCTGATTCAAGTCCAATGCTATCTACTACAGGGACAGGTGACACGGTGCTTGATGTTTTGGACTACAGTTTCTATTAGCCCAGCCTGCATAGTGAGTAGCTGGGGATTGTGGGATATGTAGTCCCAGCATCTGGAGGGTGCCAGGTAGCTTACTCCCAACCTACTATATCTGACTGGCTGCTCCTGATTTTGATGGTCCAACTTTTGAATTCACAATGCGGTTTTCTTTTTGTAAAAGCTTGAATCAGGACTGTTGTCACTACTCCAGAGGTCCCTGTAGCTGCTTGTAGCTAAGGTGGTGGTGGAGATGGGAAATGTGCTGGCAATACAAGGATTGGATTGAAGCTGAAATTAGAGGTCTCCACTGCTGCCCTTTCAGGACCCACAGAAAATGGTGCTGAGAGGTCCAAACAGAGCACATCAGTAAACTGTAATTTGTACCTATGGGGAGTTCTTTTTACTGGCTCCCCTATTCCAGCTCCCCCAGGGAAAATTTTGCAGCTGAATCTGGCTCTGCCCAGCAGTGCAAATCAGGATTTGAAGGCAAGGGCGTGTGGCTGTGCCCATACCAAGGCAGTGGAAGTCATTGCTGCTGCTGCCAATTGTAGCATTTTGGCTAGGAGCAGGTTATGGGGGATGCCATTCACCATAGCCGGGGAAAGCTGGTGTAAACCAAGTGCTCTCCTGCCCAGCGGTGCTTTTCCCCCATGCAGTTTCTTCGTTATGTTACATTTGCACTCATCACATCTCCACACCAAAAGAAAAAGTAACAATACCACCATGCAGATAATAGGTTTGTACAAAAACACCTCTTGTTAAGCAGACAATCGCATGCTTATGTAGAAATTCTGTGCAGGTGATGGCTGCTACCTTTTCTGCAGCTTTGAAACCTGTGAGACACCTTTTGCAGCAAAGATCAGGCAGCGTGTTAGCAACATGAGGGAAGGAGCAGTGCAATTCTGTGCGCTGAATTAAATCCCTTTGGGTTCGATCCAGCTACTAAGAGTAGACGCCTCTGCCACTGCCAACACCACTTCCCCCAAACTTCTGGTGGCTCTCCCAAGCCTCTGGATCAGAGGGGTGAATTAGGAACTGCAGGAGAGGAAAATCAAAGCTTCTGTCCCCACCTCTTGCTGCCAGTATGATGCTTCCACTGGTCTGAATGCTTTCTAGAAAACACAAGCCCTTCCCTCAGCTGGAAGCAGATTTGGGATTCAGTTTGGTGTCTTCAGTGAGGCCTACTTAAGAGTTAAATAAGTTTAGGTTTAATATGTTTCAGATGGCAGTCAAGCTACTGTACAAGTCATAGCTAAGAGCCCCAAGTTATAACGCTCACACTGAATCCAGTGTTAGTTGTGATTAATTTCCCTTGCTATCAGTGGGATTTTTGGATGCAAACCCATAGCAATTCACCTTAACACAGTAGGTCTTACTTTTGAGTAAGCATATATAAGCTTGCTCTTGGTCACAACTAACTTTAGACAAATGAGAGCCATAGACTTCCAATTTAACAGAAACTGATCTGCAGAAGTCTACTAATCCTAAAAAAATGTTTTGGAACTTTTAACTTGGTGTTGGATTATGAGCTGTTCCACCTTACCTTTTTAACAGAAATTTAAAAACACCATTTGTAACCTTTTATTAAGGAACATCTGTATATAGCAAAATAAAAAATGCTCTATTTTAAACACCAATACTGTGTTAACCAGTTTCTTTTCCAGACACACTCTGGAAGTAGGCTGATGTATCTCCAGCAGCTTTGCAGGGGTGGGCATTTTGGTGAGTGCTAGTTGTGTCGCATCAGGTGATGAGCTGGCTGTGCAGAGGGGTGGCTGGGACTTGCGGGTGCCCAGGTAGAGCATCAGCATCCTATTATTTTAGTTATTCATTTGATTTTTAGCCTGCCCCATTAGCCGGACGGCTCTTACAAGGAGTTACCCTGCTTGAACCTGCTCGCTGAGGCTCTTCCTGGCTGCCGTTCTCCCCCACCCCGTGTCACTAGTGACAGGATGATAGAATTCTTGGCTCTTTGGCTGCACTGCAGCGGGGTGTCTCCTGGCAGGCGGGGTAGCATGGCAGTCAGTGACACTGAATTCCTGAGCGTGTCTCTTTTGTTCAAGCGTGTGGCAAAGGGTGCGTGGTGTGTTCATTTGCTGGCACTGTTTTGCAGATGAAAGAATGACAGCTGACTTTCTTCTGTTAGGACAGATGGTAATCAAGCTACTGTACAAGTCATAGGTAAGAGGGATAGAGGGCCTCAAGTTGTAACTGTAACTATCACACTGAATCCATTGTTAGTTGTGATTAATTTCTCATGCTATCAGTGGGATTTTGGATGCAAACCCATGCCAACTCACCTTAGCACAATGGATCCTACTTTTGATACTGAAAAGACTGGACAGATAGAAGTCATGTTACGTATTTGTTGTATCCTCCTCTTCTTTAGACTGGTGCCTGGCCTTCCAAATACTGATCAGATCTATAACTGGTTTCCTCAGCAATGCTATTGGCATCAGATCCTTCCTGGCCACTTGTTTATTTCCATGATATGAAAGCAACCACTCAGTCTCTGGGCACTGGTCTGTTTCATGCAATTGACCAGCATTTAGATGGTTTCCCTACAGTAATAATATAGTAATAATATAATAATAAATAATAATATATTTATAATAATAATAATAATAATAATAATAATAATAATATAATAATAATAATATAATAAAAACCTCAAAGGTGCCTGGGACAGCAGATGAGCCTGATGGATTTTTGAAAATTTCCTTCTGGGGGAATTACTATGATATATACTTGACTAGTTGTGATTAGTTTTATATGTATGTCATTCATTGCAGTTCTCTGATTACGATAAACTTCATGCACTTCATCCAGCTTTAATCAAAATTGAAGAATAGGCCCCCTGAAAATCAGTGGCATTTAGGGTAATCATGACTAACTGATCTCCCAGTGATTTCAATGTGTTTACACTAAATATGCCCAAATCTGGATCCTATTCAATAGGAAAGGGTTAAATAGAAGATAAATCATCAATCCAAATATTGCATTTTAAGTATTTTAATGCAAATTGTGCTGATGGCAGGATCACCACATGACTACATTAAATGAAAGATACCAACTGAGATTAAAATCTGCATTAGTCACAAAAATTAGTTATTCTTTCAAATTGTCAGGACCTGAAACAGGCAATCCAAGGAAGATGTAGGCTGGGTCTGTGCTTGGGCAGAACTCTGTTAATCTTCCACAAGAAAAAAGCTAAATAACTTCACTGTACAAGAGCAAGTAGCCATGCCGCTTTTCCCAATGTTTACCAGTCCAATCCAAAAAGCTGCTTAGTCTACAGACTTCATGGCTATAAAAAATATGGTAGCCAATAGGGACCATGGTAGCCATTTAGTTCATCTTTCGCTTCCTGCTTCTTGGAGGCACCTTGTACACAGGTAAGGGCAAGGAGAGTGTCCCCAGTTTGTGTTCCTCAAGTCCAAAGAGGCTTTTGCTTTTGGTGATCTTCAGCCTCATCGCCCTGGCGATGTCAAGTATCCTAACACAAGAAAAGAACAAAGTGTGTGAAAAGACTTTTTTGCTCCCATTCACCCTCCACCAGCCTTCTCTTCTTTGTGGAAAGTTTCCCCGTTTTCCTTCCTTTCCCCCAAACTGTTTACAACTCAGTATAAAAACTATTATTTTTTGTTGCCAACTGAGCTCTTCACAAGCATGTTCTCAAGAAAAGAATGAAGTAGTCTGGCAAATTTCAAGAAAGACTGGCCATCTATAGAAGAACACCCGTTTCTTTTCAAGAAAAACAAAAGCAAGATACTTTTCTAGTTATGCTGCTGTACAGCAGAACCTACTGCAAAATTCTGAAGTGTCTATCCAGTCCTTTCATTACACTGATTAGTAGCCTTGTCCCACTCAAGAGGGCTGAAAACACTGACAGTACTTCATGAAGCCATCACCAACACAGAATCATTCTGTTTGCAATCAAAACCTATAGTATTTAGAGAATTAGCTGAAAGCTTGCCCTTGAAATAATAGCTTTCAACGATTATTGAAAATGAGCTTCTTGCACTGTAGTTTTCTCATTTTTGTTGTATATAAGAATAATTTGCTGTCTGCAAATCGCCAATTTTATTAGAAAAGGCTCTCAAGATGGAATTTTTCACAGAATCCAACAATATTGTCATTGTGGAGGAGGTCATAGCAATTGGATGAGTGAAGCAATAACGTCATCAGCCTTGGAGTTTCTCTCTTGGGAGGAGGATCTGGTGGATGTCACTGCAACAACCCACTGGCCAAACCAACCGTCAGGCTTGCTTACTGATGTTCTAACTCAGGGCTGCACTGAAAGCAGATCCCCAGATGTGTGAAGACTCCAACTCCCAGCATTTCAGACCACTGACCATGCTGAGGGGCTTCTGGGAGTTGAAGTCCGAGCCACCTTCTGCCCACCTCTGTTTGGTTTGTTTGGCTACAGCTAAAATTCAATTTAGTCACCACATCACACACTTCCCATTGGACTTCCTAGAGGAACTGGCTGTATTTAATTTTAACTCATGTTTCAAATGTAACCAACACTCTCAGGAATGGGCATTTATTGCTGAAAACTTGGCTCCCTTGCCTGCCTGCCTGCTTGCCTGCCTGCCAGGAGTACATGCTGCTACCTTTGTTTTCCTAGCTCTATTTCTGTGCTGTTCGTAGCAACCTGACAACCAAGAAACTTGATAGATGAAGCTTTTCCTGGCATGACAGTAAAATAATGTGGAAATGTTCACATACTAGATTTCTGCATGACAACCTGCTGCTTAAAGCACAGAAGAGTTGAGAGGCTGGCAAGTCTACCCAGGAAACATTGCTTAGACTGTCACAAAATACAATCGGCGACTATTTAGATGCAAAGGTGGAACATGAAGTAGGAGCCAAGATATATTTAAGGAGAAGGAAGGCCTGGTACTCATATTTGCAAGGAAACAATGTTTGTGCAACAAGCAGCACAGTCTCCTAAACTCAGGGTGGGCTTCTCCAAATTGGTGGCCCAGATGGTTTGGACTTCAACTACCAACAGTCCCAGTCAGCACAGCTAATGGTTATGAACACCGAATTCTAGCCGAAGCATCTGTACAGTACCAGGTAGGAGACATCTGCCCCAGTGTGCCAGACACCAGAAATGGTGTAAAACGACACACGAGAAGGCCAGGAAAATATTTCGCATACTTTCTCCCACTTGGAGTAATCATGAAAAACATGTCATCATACCCCATCTCTGGCAGCAAAGACCATGTCTTTTATTTATTCACTATGTTTGTATCCTGGCAGCTTACACGATCCATGTTTCATCTTCATAACAACCCTGGGTGGTGAGCCCATCAGTGACTGGCCCAAAGTCACCCAGTTTGCTACATGGCTTAGTGGGGAAGTTCCTGGGCTGAGAGTCTGACCATTAGACCACATGGTGTCTCAATCTAGGCAGTTATGAGAGGATGCCAGACAAGCTGAATCATGCTGAAACCAAAGGGTGGAGCAGGTTCCAAGGTCCTGCCTGCAGAACCAGGCCCACTACTAGGACCATATGGCTCTTCGCAGAATAATAAAAGAGACTTTAATTCCACTACTCTCACCTGCTGTCCCGCAGTTTCAGATCCCGCTGCAACACCGTCAGGTCTGTTTGGAAATTGTTAATATGCAGAGCCAAGGCTATAGCATATGCTGTTATCTTAACTTTCATAGAGGCAGAAACCTGATTCTGAATCCTAAAACATGAAAGAAAGAAACCAAATGCTATACGGTGAGCTATGTTCAGTGCTTGCGCACTCCATGTTCCAACCACTCCCAAAGACAGCACTAAAATACAAGTTCTGCCCCAAAGTAACTGAAATTCTGTGCCAGAAAAATATAATGCTGCTGCTTGCCTATCTGAGTAAAGGCCTCCATTTTGTAGACTTCTTCCTCAGCTGGCAGCCCTGAGTGTATTTAGGTTTTGTGGGATGGAGAAGATGGGGCATTTGGCAATCAGAGATCGTTTTAAGGGAAACAACAAGCTACCAGGAATTTACAGTTTGTTAGAACCAGAGTGCATCTTTTCCAATTCCTGGTACAAGTGAATTGTGCTTTAGAGGGAAAAACTACATTTCCTGAATGCCTCACCTTCCATTAAAAGTACGTTTCAGCCCTTAAAGACTGGAGAATGTTGGCAATGTCTGCTGAACTCCCCAAAGCCAGAACTTCCAGGTGTTTGAGGTCTCAACATCCTACAGAGATCAGTTTCTTTCACAATGAACAAGACAACAGACATACGTACATAGATCATGTACATTTTTAAAACTGACCATGGATTCTAGCTATGTTGATACAGTATTCTGATGTACAGAATAAGCACAGCCATCATAATCTCCACATTACAGTTTCTTGCAGCAGGCAGAGAAATTGGACCAGTTTACAGCCATTTTGAAGTGCAATTTTCCTATTGAGGAGTTCAGAACCCTGTTTACCATCTCTGCAGGAGCATAAGTATAAGCACCACGAATACAGGATATTTTACTATCAAAATAAGGCTGCTCAAGAAAGATCTGCTGCTGTCTTTTGGGTGTGCAGAAGTCCATTTCTTGCTATTTCATACAACCAACCCAAACCAAGCAGCTGAGGCTAATACACCAGAAAGCAGAGGGGGGGGGGAAATTGGTTACTATGACGATCAATTCTTGAACGAACGAACGAACGAACGAACAAAAAAGGCTCATGGGGCATACAAGAAATTCAGATGCACCTACTTTTTTTTTTTTTTGGTAGGGGCATCTGTACAAAAAGACACACTGGAAAAACACAATTTCCAGTGACCTGCTATGCATGTAATAGCAAACTATAGTATGGGTTGAGTTCAGGTTGTCATTGAATTGTGAGTTACTGTTTCATGCAAATCTTGCACTATGGTTTGCAGGTTCTTAACCACAAGCAGTCCAGAGTTCATTACCCAACTAGCAACCACAACTTTTCTTGGGCCATTGTTATATATGAATTAAACAAGGCCAATCTCTTCCATCCACTTATTGAAAAGACAGGAGTGCATGTTGACATTTTGTAGATGAGCAATGGAATGCATATGCTCTTTATTCCCAGCGTGTTTCAATAAATTCTCAAAGGGAAAAATCACTTTTAGTGCCAGTTACGAGGCATTGCTGAGTAATTACTTCCCAAGTTTTAAAAGTGAATTGAAGATAAAAAAGATCAATTCTGATCAAATATAAGAACAACCCATGCAACTGTTTCGTTTCTGTGATGCGGCTTCTACAGCCATCGTCGATTCACTGTTGTGTTGTGGTAATTTTGAACTCTGGCTTTGCGACTTTCCTGATTGACCAAGGCCTAGACAATTCAAATAGACATTTTGCTATGCTCAGGATAAAATGTACCTGCCATTGGCATAGGCCAGTGCCGTGAAGGTTTTCACAAGCTTGTTGCTGATGATGTGAGGACAATCAGGTCCCAGTGCATCTAGAACAAGAAGTTTTAAAGTTAGCTTTCCCCAAATATGTGGAATCACCGAGGCAAAGCCAGGAGAATAATGTATCAGAAAGGAGCATTCAACCTCAGATTCCAACCACAATAGCTGAAGAGCTTCTAAGCCTGACTTTAAGAATCTACCAATACTAAAGAACAGGTTTGTTAACCAACTATTCCACTAAAGTGAAACTTCAATTCTACAACTCTGTTCTGACAGTGCTGAACATCGGTCAGCTTATGCATTCTCTTGAAAGCTTTTAGTCCATGATCCACCAATCCACTGAGCCAAAAAAACACACACAGTTCCACTGAGTTCAGCTGATTTATGGATCAGGTCACAAGTATTCCCCAACTGACAGGATTCAGAGGATTAAAGCACAGCAGCTGATTCACTCTGTAGAATCCTTTCTGTGCAGAAAAAGCACTTAAGCACAGAATGGTGTATTGACTATAGAATGAAACATCTTGAGAATCTCAACTCCCCGTCTTTCTTCTGTCCTTCTTTCCATCCTCCTCTCCTCTCCTCGCCTTTCCAAAAATGAATGAATGAATACTAAATAGTGGGAGCTGGCAAAGACAGGCTGGCAAATTCAGCGTTCCTCTGGATTAACAGTGCTGGAGAAAGCGGACTTCCCACAGCAGGTCTTGGATTAGATCCACAGCACAAGCTAAACATTAGTGATTGTATATATTTACTAGACATTAAGAATGTGCACCAATGAATAGTGTCATCTGATGTTTGCATATAGTCAATGTAAATAGTTTCCCAGCAACACCTGACAACAAGCCCAGGGGCTTTCCTCGATTGCCTACAGTCACTACAGGAGAAGTACCAGCAAGGGATTAAACTCATTGCGGATTACTTGAATCAGTTGGCTTTTCTTTCAGAGGGTTATTTTGGACAAGATAAGTAGAAAGATCCAAATCAAATCAGATTAAATCAAAACTTACATTTCTTTTTAACATTTTTTTGTGAGCTCAGCTTGACAAGGCTATCAAAAAACCAGAGACATCGGGCTTTGTGGTCACATCTCTTCTCATCCAGAGGCATGGACTTCAGTTCATTCAGAACAAAGGAGCAGTGGCTAAAAAAGAGAGACAGGACAGTCCCAAGGGCAAAAACACTCTGGCAACAGAAGGCATGAGTGACTTCTTCAGCTTCTCTAAATCAACATACTGTGTTGCCTGAAAGCAAGGAAGTGCTTATCTCGACACTGGCTAGTCCAATTAAAAAAAGGAAAAAGTGCTTTTTTGCACTCTGGTAGCCTCTATTACAATGATCAAGGAATACACATTTAAGCAACTAATTCAGGGGTGGGTACAGTCTTTGGCCTAATTTTGGAAGCTCTCTGCATGCAATCAGTTCAGCACTTGGCAGAAGCTATCTGTCTCTTCCCTGGCAGGCTGCTGCTCAGCAACAGAGCGGGGTGATGGTTTAGACAGAGACAGAATGTTTGAGAAGGGAGTGGCTGAGGCAGAGAATGAATGAAAAGGGATGGCTTAGAGAGGAGACAGCCAAGGGAGAGAAAGGAGTGACCCCCCCACACACACCTTGGGCCCTGCTGACCACTGGCTTTGGCCTCCCTCACTGCTAACAACTGTGCCCTGATAAATTACCCAAAAGAGGAGACTGCCCACCTGAGCCAGCTGGAGCTCTGCAGCCCTTTCCTCACCTGCACAATGTCCCTCACGCATTTCTAGCTGTGCTCCTACCAGGCTGTTGACAATCCCTAACTTTGTGAATTGCCCACCTTTATCGGGCACCCAGATCCCTGCCTTGCCCTTCATATCTCGCCATGTCTTTGGCCCAGTGGTGCAGCACCTACTTCACAGGCAAAGGTGCAAGATTCAACTCCAGGTATCTCTAGGTAGGACTGTGAAAAATCCCTGCCTAAAACCTGCAGAGCCACTGCCAGTCAGGGTTGACAAGACCAGGCTAGAGGGCTGATTCTGCAGGGCCTGGACATGACAGGGTGGCAAGTCACTGCAGCATGAATTAATCTCAGGAAACTTTGCACAAGTCTCATGTGGGCTCTTTCCATCAAAATCTGTGCTGGTGCACTGCCCCACAGATGTGAATCCAGGGTTGTGCCACTATGACATGAGTCCTACTTAAAAGTGGATCAAAATGAATGAAATTTAAGTTAGACTGACATTGGCTAGAACCCTTTATTTCCAGGAAACAAGATCACAAAAACAGTTTGTGCATGTGTGACTACCACCTGACCATTCACAGCTAAGCATATAAACTGATCCAATTAAAAAAAAAAATTGTGTTTGCGGTAGCATTATAAACACAAAAGTTCTGTCTGTGGTGTTAAGATCTTTGATGGTTCATTCACACACATAAGATCAGCATCAAGCAAAATATACAGGAAAATAACAGTGCATTTATATCCCACTTTTTTCCCTCTTGTGAGGAACCCAAGGAGACTTACATAGCTTGTATCCTGACAACGACCCTGTGAGGTAGGCTGGGCTGAGCATCTGTGATTGGCTCAAAGTCATTTCGTGAGCTTCACAGCTGAGTGGGGAGTAGAACCAGAGTCTTCCAGGCCTCCATCCCAACACTCGAACCGCCTTGCCACACTGGCTCTCTCAATTCAGTTCTTAATCGGCTCATAGCTAGCACAAGTCAGAATTAACTTACCCTTCTGCTTCAAATCAAAGCCCCCCTCTGCCCCTGCCATGCAGCCTTACCTTTTCTCTTCCTCCATCTTGAGGATGTCCGCTGAGGTGATGCTCATGAAAGCAGCTGCTGGAGCCTGAAGTGCCTCATATTCAGCGGGTGATATAACTGAAGGCATTTTCAGAAAAATAACACCACTTCTCATAATTTCCCTGGCACCATTAGACTGTCAAAGGGTTAGTCTCTTAGCAGAGGCTTTGGTGGTTTTATGGGCTGGCCATATTTCAATGGATAATTATTGCAGCAGCTTAAAATTTTGTTCGATTCAATTTTTTAAAGAAAGTGTTGGGAGAAGAAATAATATTAATAATAATAGCATTACCCCCATCAGAGGCAGCCCTACCATGAGGCAAAGCAAGGTGGACACCTCATGCAGAAAAGACTGGCTCCCATTAAACACAAGGTGGCATGTCGCTCATGACTCCCAATCCACTGGAACTGCTTATTCCCCCCAGTTTCAATTTGGTTAGTACAAGAAAACTTTCCGGTGGATTATGCCCCTTGCTAATTAGCAGCAGAATATATTTTCCACTCTGGAAACAAAACATCTTCAGCTAGCTTACTCAGCTCATGAGGAATGGAAACTAATGAAGATTTGAACTGCACAGGCGAGCGATCTTTTCCTTGGCATATTTCCTTGTTTTTATTCAGTCATAGCAAAGCAGATTATGGCTTTGTTGTGAACAAACTTCAGCACATTTCAGATTTTGAGCCAATGTCTCACTACTTATTAAAATTGGCATCTAGCCCCTATCTCCCACATACCCATGCATTTGAGAAATAAACAGTAGAACATTGTTTTATATGATGAACCAGTAGCTAGATAATCTAGTGAGACATTAGAACTTTTTTTGAAAGGCAACAGATTCAGGGGGAAAGAGATTAGAATCAGCTATCCTGTTACTGCCAATAATTACAATTGTACTTTAGTGAAATAAAGAAAAGTAGTTTCTGGCAGATCAATTTTGTGGAAAAAATCTTCCATGTTCTAAACCAATACACAGAGACAGGACAGAAGGACAGATTACGTCATTCCCTCCAATGATTCCACCAATCTGTAATTAAACTTCAGAAGTGCCTGTTTCTCTCAACTACAAACCAACTGGATACACTGTGGTATCATTTCCAAACAGACACACACTGAAATTATGCTTCTGAAATCCTCCTTTCCTTCCTACCCCAAGGTGGTCTCATTGGTAGGCCCAAGAGGCCACAAAGTCATCCCCATAAACAATTCCATCTCCACACCTCTTCTTTAACACCAAAACCCTTTCTTTTTCCTTTTGGGTCTGTCCACTCTGATATAAAGTAAAAATTATTCTGCCTGTAAAAGATACTGTCCTCAAACTTGTAGACATCCTCTGGTTTGTCAGCATCTTCATGGCAGGGGGGAAGAATCAAGGAGACTTCGTCCTTCTCTGCTGCGTCACTGACCAAAGCTTTGAATGCAAACAGAAGGTCATCATGAGCAACAGAAAGACTATTTCAGTTAGTTCTTCAACAGAGCTTATATTTATACTAATTTATTATTTTATAGGTATAAATACCCCAGCCTTCCCACACAGGATGGTTTACAAAAACTAATACCAATTAACACACCACAACAATCACATGTAAAATATATACCTGTATGAGACAAACACTAGCAAATAAAGTAATTTTAAAAAGATCCCCAAGTTCATCCAAATTGCCAGAATAAAAGACACACGAGATTTTCCTACAACAGGCTTTGAACGTGTTTCAGCCCCAGGGCTCAATTCCATTTGGGTGAAGCTCTCAGGAGCTACATTCCAGGGGCAGGCAGAGCCAACAGCAAAGGCGTGTGGCCAAAAGTCAGCCCAAAGCTCTTACAGCCAGTAACTAAGCCATAGGAGAGGATAATGGGCAGGGGAAAAAACACAAAAGTCAGGCAACCACTCAAGAGTTACGGAAACCTTTGCAGGGAACCCCAGAGAACTGGGTCAGAAGCCCAGGAGGGTTAAACTGGGTTCACAATTTGTAGACCTGAGATTCAGCACCCTGACTTAGAAAGTAAATTGTATTTCAACATTTTACAGCTTTCTTAAGACCTAATAAAACACAAGATCCACCTACAAGTTGAAGTCCCATGCCATCAAAATGCTCCAATAAAATCAAATTATCAACAGCAGTTTTCTTTCACATTATATACAAAATAAAGAGTAAATATCATTTATTCAAAGCTTAAGAATGCCACAAGGAGATTGTTAAATAGGCTTGCCGCTCCAGTTTTTCCATCCGGTTCATGCGCGCGCGCTCAGAAGAGTCTCTTACGGGAGCACAAGGGGAGGAAACTTCTCATGTGAACCAGAGCATCAGTGAAGAGCTATTTCTGGTTTCAGCAGAACAAACTTTACTCTCCACTCTCAGAGATGGTGAGAGTAAGACTGGGCCAGATAATGAGGTGCTGAAAGTAGACGAAACAGAGGCACGGGAACAGGGCGATCTGGGAGTAAACGTGAGAACAGACTCTCAATCTTCTGATATGAAGTGTAAGAACCAAACTGGTAAGGGACAACGGGATTTGAGAACGCTCGTTCTCGCAGGCGCAGACTGGGACAGCTGGAATCCCGACTGACTAAACGATGAAGAGAGAGTGCACAGCGTCCCACCTACGGGGATGCGGCCTCGGAGGGTTCATAAGCAAAGTGTGGGTTGAAGTTAGTTAGAACGAGGGATCAACTTTCTATCCTGTTTCGATTTCACACGTAGAGCTGTTTAGAACAAAGACGTTTGTAGTATCTGCTGGAGTGACTGTTTTCACTGGGAAGCAGCACCAGCCTCACGACAATCCGGATCATTTTCATTACGTACCAGTGACGCCTTTTGTCTCTATAACGTCTTCTGCTACTTTGGTCACGGCCTTATTCAACACCTCCTTCCCAACCTTATTCATCCTCCGTGAGTTCAGAGCTTTCCTCTGCTTGTTGGTGCCAAAGGTTTCAATGCACAAATCTACCTGCAAAAATATCAAGAGATCACTGCCCAGGTACCAAGCGGTTATTTAGAAACACGGAGACAGAGTGAATCGGAAGGGGTCCCCCAGGTCATCCAGTCTGACCCCTGGCTCCGCTTATGACATGCCTACCATATGCATGTCTAGCCAATCCTTGAACACCCTCGCTGATGGGGCCCCGGTCACCTTTCCACCAGGATCTTTTGTGGGGACCCTTCCCTTTAGAGTCAGCTAATGAGAACACAAGGCGCTAATACTAAGCCATGTATTTCAGCCCATTGAAGTCAGTGGAATTATTAGACCACCAGGGAGCAAACTATTCCATGTCTGTTGCCAAATATCACTAGGGAATAAGAACAGAACACACTAGTTATATTCAGCTGGTTTACCTGCTTCGAGTCAGCAGTATGAAAAATAGCTTCTATTCAAGATATTTTTAGTAACATGGTCATGGCAACCAACACACAACAGAGCCTCATTCAGTAAAAACAAGTTGAATGTTAAACCATCAGTCATTGACTAAGCAATGTTTGCAGCACTGACTGCCATGCTGTTGCTGAAGTGCTGAGATGGCAGAAAGCTGATCAGTCAAAGGTTATGAAACTGATCACAGTCAAATATTCCAGGAAGACCTAAATGAGAGGATCCTACATTTTAAATTGTGTCATATCATTCACCTAACAGCAAAAGTAGGTCAGTTCACTGACCACCAGCCATGCTGATGTGTGGGGAACATCTTCAAGGACTTTAACAAGCCATCAGATTTTAAAAAATTATCTGGTACAGGGCAGATGTCCTTATGGACACACATTAATTAAATTCTTTGGGCCATTCCTGGGCTTGTGCCCTGGGCTTGTATGCCTTAGGACATTAATTTTAATTCTAAATCTAATTTTAAACATCCAGTTGGAAAGTTATAATTTGCACAACTCTATTACAAGTTTCTGGCAAATTAACACTTTAAATACATGGTTGGTCAAAATGATAACCAAAAGATGTTTTTTGCAAGTATCTCACCAACCAAGTGGCTATTTCGCCTACAGAGTTTGAAATACACTCCATGCCAACAGATGAAGATGACAGACATGGGAGAGCAGAGTCTGTTCTCATGTCAGGTGGGACTCCCAGGATCATCAAGTCTCCAGGAAGTCACCCAGAGGCTAAAGCCTTGAATAAGTGGGGAAGCATCAACTAGTCATGGGTATTTCTGAGTTAGCAGAATGAACTGCTACTCCAACTGGACCATTAACTGGTCTCTGCCTTGCCTTCTCTGCAGTGTTACCTGAAAGTAGACATTCTGAAGCCTGAAGGATGGGCTTTCTGCATGCAAGGCACGTGTTTTCCCACTGATATGGGCCTCTCCCCCATATCCCAGCAAGGAGGCCCCTTATGTGGAGGCAAGAACTATCTCAGGTAATGTCAGCATAAATTTGGGGTATCTCAGCTTTGGCCTGGGAGATGATTAGGGGTACAGAAGTTCCATTTTCCATCTTTGGAAAATGCTACCAGTTCCATTTTCTACCTTAGGGTTTTTCTAGACTAAAACCTTTATCACTGTTAGAACACTGAAATGATGTAACGGTGGACTGCATGCTCCTCAGTTTGTTAGTTAAGAGCTATAACTGGGGGAAACATCCACAGTTTTAATGGTGAAGAAGTTTATGGAGAGTAGTGCTAAAGGTCTTAAGGTCCCTGGGCAAACAACACAAAAGTGCTCCACAGGATGACTCAGAAAAGCCCTTCCAGGGCTGGAGACAGTGCTCTGACTTCAGAAGGGAAGGGTCAGAGATCTGAACAGTTGGTATGGAGAGAAACATATCGGATGCCTCTCTGAGGTCAGAAAACTGACCTTGGATAAGGGGAAATGAGGGTGGGAGGGGAGGAGGTGGGAGAGATCAGCATATGATTTATCCTCAATTTCCTCCAGTCTCCTTCCCTCTTCTTTCAAAGCTCCCTCACTAGATGGGCTCAAAAGCCTGTCTAGCAAAACACAATTGGGAGATTGGGAGCAAAGACTGGTTCCACTCTTCCTCCTGCCCTGCCCCAGTTTGGGGGCTTCTCAGCAATGAGTACACAGAATTTTGGCTAGAGGGTCTACAGGATTGCTCACTAGAGAGAGTCCAGAGGATTTCTCCCTGAGTAAAGCATTGTGCCGACCACCTAAGCCAAAATCAATGTTTGCACAACATTAACATCACCAGCACTGGTTTACATTCATGTAACGTTAACAGCACTCATGCACAAGTACCAGTGAATCCTTCGCAATATTTCACATTTACAATATTTGAAACGAATAATTAAAGAAGATGAAATTGCACCAGGAAAATCTAACATAATTTCACTATCATTGTCTTTTAAGCCATACCTTTTCTCTGTAGGATTTAGTCAAATATTCAGACAGGTCATCATCAGCTACATTATCTATTAAAAAAAGAAAACAAATCAGTAAAATTGGAATCAAGAGCTCTTCAGACCTAACCAAAGAGCGTTTTGAATATGGAAAAAGTATTCACACACTGAAGAAACCTAAAAAGATGGTTGTTCATATACTTGGGAGGTTCTTTTTAATCAAGCAGGGTTTTTCAGATGCTATCTATGAGCGAAGCTTGATGTTTAGAAAAGGGATATGGTGCATCTCTTCTGAGACAGTACTATTGGTAAAGGTGGCTTACATTTTTTATATACTTCCAGGTTAAAAAAAAATCCTGTACATAAAAGAGTTCCTCCCTGACATGCTTGCCTTCCATAGGCAGGGAGAAGCTGGCAAGGAGTATGGAATTTTCCACCTGCACTCAGAAATGGCACAGTCTCAGGAAAACTTCATCATATGCCTTTGATGAATTGGTTGTGTGGTTCTCGGTGAGCTTCCCTACGTCCAGAAACAAAAAATAGCAACTCAAGACTCCCAGGCAGGAACCAAGTATAGTGAATAAGCAACTTTATTGTAAGCCAGCCCAAGACGTTCTGCAGGGGACGGGATAGAAAAGCGTATAATTAATTAATTAATAAACTTCTTATTACACAAGATGGTGACAGGATGGAATCAATGGTAGATCTGTAGGTTTAATTCAAATTGAAAGAAATAAACTAAAATAACATATTATAGTCTGGGAGAGGTTAAGGTAGATGTCCTGTTTTCCCAGCAGCTGCATTGGAGCTGTATCAAAACTTGTCTCGCTATTTTAGGATTTTCCCTACTCTTCTGCAAAAAAAGACATTTTTTCTGTTTCAATCACAGGGAGGAGAATTTCAAATATTCCCCTTGGGAAGAGGGACAAGGTTTCCACAGAGGGATCTTTGCTCTTTTCTTAAATTTTAAAAATGCTCCATGCAACAGTAGGGGCACACATCTGTTTATACAGAGGCTTCTCCACTCAGCAGCACTTCTTAACACTCCTGAGACTGTGGGATATCTTGTCACCTTCTCTCAAGGGCTTTCAGGACGAGCTCCCAGGCTGCAGAAGCCTCTCTGCAAAAAACCCTCAGCTGCTGCAACAACCAACAGGGTTTTTTGGAGCTTTAGAAGAGTATTTAGAACTCTAGTTGTACAGAGTTTTTCTAAAGCTCTAAAAGTCCCTTTTGTTCTTGCCTTGCAGAGGGGCTTCTGAAGCCTGGAAGCACCTCCTGAATGCCTATGGAAGGGGGTGAATCGTGTAGTGTCTCAGTAGTTTGGGAAGGCCTACCAGGCAGCAGAAGCCCCTCTATAAAGAGTCCTGGGCTGCTATAAGTACAGGGAATGCTTTTAAATTAAATTAAAAAATAAAGATCCACAATCTACACATAAAAAGGTTAACAGAAATTCTGTCCTCTTCCCAGAGGGGAAAAATACACAAAAGTCTCCCCCACCCCAACCTCTTTTGTCAGAGTTTTCATATTGCCCTGTCACAAATGGCCAAAAATGGAATATGGAAAGATTCTGAACAGCACTAAATTGTACTACCCTTCTTAGTGTTAGATTGTCAGAATGCTGGACTGTATCTGTACAATGATTTAGGAAGCACTGGAAAGAATCATATGCCTGATATACCTTGCATGTGGACATCCAGCATATAAAAGAAGAAAATTCTAGACTAGCCTTCAGCTAGATTCTATCAGCTGGGGATTTTTAATATATGTATTTGCACAAACACAAGGAATAAGATTCAAGCATGCAATTCAGGCTCCTCTAACTCAAAGACTGAAAAAAATATCCTGCTTCTTTCTTAGAAAGGACTGCCTCACACTTGGAGAACTGTGGCCATAATGCAGTCTAGATTATGGAAAGCCAGTGTAGTGGTTAAGAGCACAGGACTGGAACTCAGGCAACCTGGGCTCTAGTTCTTGCTCAACTACAGAGCCAACTGTGGGTAATTCTGGGCCTGTCACAGACTCTTAGCCCAACCTACCTCACAGGGTTGTTGTTGTTGTGGGGATAAGACTGAGTAGAAGGAGAATGATGTAACCATTTTGAATTCTTTTTTTTTAAAGAAAAAAGTGGGATATAACAGATAGATAGAAAGAACAGAGTACTGAAGAAATTAATTGCTTTATTATCTTGTTCTGTGTGTAAAATAGGCTGGAGGAAACTTAAGCTGCATAACAAAAATCTTCCCACAATAAAGATAATTTACATTGTTAACTCACTTGAAACCAATGGTTGCATGTTGAATAACTCTGCATTATAGACATCCATTTGTCTGGAGTTCTCATCTAACACACCAATGAAGTATCTAATGGAAGATAAAGTACACAGTGTCTTTTTAAAAAATCAGAAACTTTTGAAAAGGCTGATCTTGTTTGCTAGTTCAGAAATAAGAGGTGCATTGTTTTGCTTTGGTGGGCAACTTTTCTTTTTTAAATGCAACTTTAACTGCTAGCTTGTTTAACATTTCAGGTGTTTGTTTTGTTAACGCTAGTATCATGCTGGCAGTTTAAAGAAAGTAAACCTATTGCTGCATCTTTTCATGCATTTTAGATGCATACAGATAAGTCATACCTGCAGAGAGTATTACATTTCAGGGCACCAACACCAAAGTTACTTCCAACGTAGGAGAGCCTATCTGTTTCTGCATTCTGAAGAAGAAAAAGAAAGGAAAACGTGAACTATGGACACTGGTTTTCTAGGGAAACAATTCTGTGTTAGAGGACAGGTGATTCTATGGCCTCCTGACATTGCCACGGTGGGAGCAAGGCCAAACTCTTGTGTTCCTGGGGGTGGAATTCTGAAGACTGAGCCCTTGTACCCCCTCTACTCCCAGCCAGCATGGAAAGCCCTGTGCCAGCTGCTCCAGAGAGGATAAAAAGGGGCATGCCAGGGACAGGAGGAAAGGGGAGGTGTTGGGTTGATGGCATATGCTGACTCCAGTCAGTGCCCCAGCCTCCTTCCCTCTCTGATGCCTTATATGGGCTGCAGCAGAGATCATACAATGGGTGCACATTTGCCTCTAAGTTTTGAGATTTGTGTGCCTCTAAGGTAGGGGGCACTAGATTACACCTTAGGTGATGGTGAATGTCTACACTAGTTTCACTACTCCCAAAAGCTCATTTTTTCCACCTCAAAATGGGAATTTGCTAACTTCATGTGCCCTATAAGGAGGAGACAAGTGTGGTTGCTCAGTAATTTCACTTTTTTCATGTGATTGCACTTTTCTTTCCTGTCCCAGCAACAGGCTTGTCAAGCTAGAAACCAGCTAGAAAGGCAGGGTTCTCAAGTAACAGCAATTTCTGGGTTATTCAACTGAGGAATTGCCATGTCCAAACAGGAGTGAGTGTGTTTCTTCCCATATACCCATTGCTTCTCTTTTCAATCAACAAGCCAGGAGCAACCTGCGATGTCCAAATCAAGGAACTTTAGATCATTTAGGATTAAATAACCCAGAACTGACCCAACAATAAACCATAGATGACTCAGGAAGGGTAGGGTATAAACTATTTAAGACATTAAACAAGAAGAATGGAGGCTCTAACAGGAATAATAACTGCATTTTGCCACTGAGGAAATGTTTCTGCCAGTGAACTAGAAGGATGGAATATTCACACAACAGTAGTACTCCCTCGAAGGAAGACATATGGAGCTCCTAGAACAAATGAATAATGATTACATATCTTTACAGTGTGATCCAATGCATGTCTACTCAGAATTCCCAATGATTTTAATGGGACTTACTCCTAGGTAAATGTGAATAGGATTGCAGTCTTAATGTTGAAAAAAAGGTGTTATGGCACTTTATCCTGTTTTTTGGGTTTTTTTTAAAGATACCACCAGTTTGTTTGTTTTTTGGCAGTATTTGTAAAAATTATCTATGCTCTGACATCAGTGCAATGTCACTTGTACGCTGGTGGATGTAACCCACATTGAATGGCTTTGATTAGCTGTCACTTTCACCATAAGATTATGGTGACATCTTGTGGTTTTATATACTCAAGACTCCACAGAGTTTTGATTATGGCTGGTTTGCTTTTTAAATAGGTACTATCATGTTTTATTATTGCAAACTGCCTTGCAGGCTTGCTGAGCAGAAGGTAGTCTGTAAATGAAATGATAAAATACTGCATCCCATCTGCCATCTTTCTGCAAGAGGTTCCCAGAGCCATTGTTCTCAAAAGTGTGGATTATGGAAAGCCACACCTGACCCTTTCTTCTGCATAAGGGGAAAAATGTTGCTACTGAATGTGTCTGCTTTATACATTGATCAAGAGCGCAAACAAATAACAAAACCTGCTCTTCTACTTGTACCAATATTGGAAGCCATGACTGTAATTCATGTCCAAACAAATAAGGAACAGAACACTGGCAATATGTATACCCAAAATGTATACCCAAGTCAATTTCTTATAACATATCTACAGACATTGGTGCAGCCTCTGTAAGCACAGCTGCAAGACAAGAAAGATTTTAAAGTTCTGAGATCCCATGCTGTGCCTTTAATCATTCAGTGGCAGAAGGAAGGCTGGAAGGATCTCTCCATCACTGAAACAGGCCATATGTTTTAAGTTTTCTATCTGCCACAAAGCAATTAAAAACTATGGCTGCAATTCTATGCACATTCCCATTGAGCTCAACAGGGCTTCCTTTCAAGGACACATGTACAGATTTGCTCCACAACGATACAACAGATACTGAAGATAAAACCAACACTTCAGCAGGGAATCATAGGATGAATGTCATAAAAATAACAGTGAAATAAGAACACTTCACATGACACAAAACAAAGGTTTTCTGTGGGAAAGCACTTACCAAGATGACCCTATGCTTCTTCCTTGGATTACTGGTGTCTTTGTGTTTATACAGGGTGAAACTCATGCTTTTAGTACTCTTTAATTTTCCATTGGTAAACTGGACTGCAAGAGAAAGGTATCCAATACGAACATTATAAAGGGCCAAAGGGTTTGAGATCAATTTTGCCACGCTTAAACTAGCTAAAGTTAGTGGGTGTGCACAGGCTGACGTCGGTGCCGGATCTGTGAGGGGGGTGAAAACTTCCCAGCAGCTTCAAACAAATCCCAGGAAGAATATTTTCGCAGACTTCCCTCCCTACTCAGCCTAACTTTAGCCGGTTGTCGCAAATCTTTCGCCGAGTTCCCCATTTCACTGGCTGGGAGCCATCACCTTTTGCCCCCGATTGCCTCCTCGACCTACCAACCCCAGGTTCGGCACGCCTTCCTTTCTTCCCGCAGGGTTTCCGCTTGTTAGACCTGACCGTGTGCTAGACTCAGCCTTGGCCAGCCTGTTGCCCCGCTGATGTGCTGGACTACAACTCCCAGCACCCCAGTCCGCCATGGGAGTTGTAGTTCAGCTTATCTGTTGGGCACCTGATTGGGCAAGGCTGATCTCTTGCAGCGACGCCAAGGGTTGCCAAAGGACAAACCCACGTGGAGTCCAAAAGGGGCTCGAGGGCGCGGCTTCACGCTTCGCTCGCCCCGCAGCCCAGCATCTTACCGAGCGGAGCGCTGTGTCCCTCCTGGGGGTCGCCGCGGTAGCACCAGCGGCCCTCCGCGGCCATCGCCAAGCACGCCTCGTTCCCGGAGCTCGCAATCCTGAGCGCGGCAGCCCGAGCGCTTGCCCAGGAAGAGGCGGAGTGCCGGCGCGCTCGCAAAGTTTCTTCCGCCCGCGTTGCTCAGGCCAGCCTCTCTCGCCACCTGCAGACGAGAAAGAGGCACTGAGTGCGAAAGACGCTTCGGAGTCACCGGGGATCCGGTGCCGGCGGAGATCGTCGCGCGTATACAGCACCGTCGAGACGCAGGCGGCCGCGCTTTGATTGCACGGCATGAGCAACGGTTTTCAGGCTTGATCTCCAGCAAGACATTTTGGGCCAGACGTGGTTTCCATTCAGGTGCAGAAGATGTAGTGCAAGAAGATGGCTGTGTGAGAAAATGCTTCTTGATAACTTCCCTCGTTTTGCTGTTCATGCATTTGTGCATTTGTGGCAGAAGAGTGGACAATGTTCAGAGGAACTGTAGAAGCCAAAGTTAGTTGTGAAGTTGGAAACCTCTCTTAAGACTACATTCCTGTACTCTTGTTATTTGATAGTCTTACTGAATTCAGTGGGACTTACTTCTGAGTAGACACACATGGGCTTGCACTGTAATTGACACTGAACATGATCCAGCGGTAGTGCCTTGCATTGCCCCTCACTGCTTCTCATGAAAAAGTGAAATCGTGCAATGTTTTTAAAAAATGTGTACATCTGCATATTTTTTTCAGTTTCCAGAGTATCAATTTCCCTAAATTGTGTTTTCAAAAATCCTGACAGCCTTAATTATAAGAACAACTTTATAAGTTAACCTTTTTTAGCAGGCTGGAGCAAAGACAAGATAGGCTTATTATTTCCCTGAATATAAATACTCTTCCTTAACCTGTTCATTCCTTTTTAACATCTCCATCAAACTGTTGGGAGAGTCTGTTCAGAGGGAGTGTCACAAATATGCAGAGACTGGATTAGATGAGGATAAGCGAGGCTAAAATTAATCCAGACAAGATTAAAATCCTTTCAGTTGGAAGTTTAGGAAGGGTACCACAAAGCTCAAGAGGTCAGCAGTACAGTTAAACAGCAGAGTCAATAAAAAGAAAGGAAGGCTTTTCCCATTGCAATGCTGGGGGGAAAATCAATGCATTGGAATTAAATAATTGTAAATGATATTACTATTATAATGTTTACTAATTTACTAATTATTTACTAAGGTATTATAATAATATAGCTGAAGCTTTCTGGGTAGTTCACAAATTGCATGCAGTACAATTTTAATCATGTTTTTCCTCAGAAATAGCAGCACAATACTATGTATATTTATTTCAAATTAATTTCCATGGTGTTCATGGAGCATATTTGGACTTCTGAATGGATGGAGCTGCATGTCTCACTGCATCCAGTGAAAGTCATGCCCTAGTCAAGTGTGCATTGGATTACAATCTTTGTTATTCAGACTGAAGACTTCAAAGAACCATTTTCTTGGGAGGACAGACAACTGGAGACATACAGTCTGTGAAAAATTTGTGGAAATGAGGACATACAGTGCTTAATATTTAACATGATATATCCCAACAGAGTTCCATCCTTGTAATAGCCCTACTCCATAATGTGAGGATGCCTGTGATTGCAGAAGGCTGAGTAAAATTTTATTTTTTTATTTATTTAAAACATTTTTATGCCGCCCCCATCGCAACGAAGTCTTGGGATGGCTCACAACAGAAACAAAATGCATAAATAAATAATAATATAACAATAAAAAAATTATTTAAAATCCCCAGTGCATCTCAGCTAAAAATTTAAAATCCTATAAATACAAATAATTTAACAATTAAAATAAGTTTTAAATAAAAAGGTCTTGGCCTGGTGCCGAAAAACAAATAACAATGGCTCCAGGCGGACCTCTCTGGGGAGCGCATTCCATAGGTGGTGCTCCATCGCAGAGAAAGCCCTCCTCCGGGTACTCACCCTCCTAATATCATTCACAGAGGGTTCCCGGAGAAGGGCATCTGTTGCTGATCTCAAGGGGCGGGAGGGCATATATGGATGCAAGCATTCCTTTAGATATCCAGGTCCCAAGCCGTCTATGCATTTTGCACTTACTTTCTTCTAAATTACTCCATATGCAGGTTCTGACAACATTCAGGTGAAGTCCTGAGTACCACAGCAGTGACACTGGGCACAATAGGGAATCAGTAGAAATTCCACAGTCCCAGCTTTGGAGTATGCAGCAGGCTGTCCTTCTCAAGGCACCTCTGCACATACAGCACCACCAATGTCGTTTTGAAAACTAATAGGTACAGACTTGTCTTCAAGGAACTGTTCCATGCAAATCAACTTCATAGAACTTCTCTCTGCTTCAATGAAAGGATTATAAATACTACAGGCCGATTTGCTACATGTCTCACTAGAAGTAGGAACTCAATGAGGTTTACTCCCAAGCATATGATTAGAGCCTTAACCAACACACATTGCTATTAGCCTGCTTGCCCAATGTTGGACCTCCTTTTTACATGCAATATTCATTTTGCACTTTTTAAATGCTTAAACAGCCTGCTATAAAGCAAGCCAAATTGCAGGCCGCAACAAAACTGTACCGTCCTCCTTCCACCGACGTCTTTCCAGTTTGGAAGTATCTGTTGAACCTTACAGCTCCTAGTTGACTATCCCCCACCCCGCTCCCTGTATGCGACCTATGAGGTTTCACGGGATGCCGTACTCGCGACCTCATTGGCCAAGGCCGAACATGGGAGTTGTTGCGAGTGTTGAGCCTCAAGTGGTACTGCGAGCTTAGGGTCCGCTCTTCCATGGGTGACGTCATTTCCGTCTGCCGTCCGCTGAAGAAAAGTACAATCACACAGACTGACGGGGGCGGAGACTCTGGCGACGATTAAGCCCGCCCTCTAAGGAACGGAAGGAAGGACAAACGGACACTTCCAGGGCCGAGAACAACGGGTGCCCCTCCCTCCCGGATAGACGGGAGTTCGGGACGGGAGGGGACCGTCGTCGCTTTTTTCCCTAGGCTAGGTGAGGCCGCAAACACGAGAGCTGGGGAGAACGAGCGCTGGGCGCGCGCAGCACTGTGATTGGGCAATGACACGCGAGTGCGTGGGGAGCGCGCGAGGAAGGGGCGTGGCAGGAGGCGGCGGGCGCGCTGCGCTGCGATTGGCTGCGGGGCTCGCGAGAGGGGTGGCTGAATATACGGCGATGCGTGCTACGGTTGGGTGGCCCGGGCTGTTCTTCTCGGTGAACGCGAGCGTGCGCGCGCTCCGCGCTGGAGTTGAGCAAAAGAGCGAGCGGCTGGGCTGCTGCCGTTGCTGCTGCGGGCACGGAGGCCCCCCGAGCGCGCGCGGTCGCCGACGGGGGTCGGTCGAGTGGCAGACTCTTCTCCGCTCGGCAGGGCCTGCACAGCTCGACTGGGGAAACAGAGCCGAGCGGGGCGGGGCAGGGGGGCTCTCTTCGTGCAGGTGCGCATGCTCCATGGTGGTCCGAGGGGCGGCCGGATTCTGTGACAGACGTTGACGAGATTGTCAACGAGAGAGCGCGAGGGTGCCGCCGCCGCCGCCACGCCCCCTTTCTTCACCCTCCCTGGGCTGTCGGCGAGGGCGGGGCATGGACTGGTGAGTGGCTTGCGGAGGGGCACCTCCTGGCCCGGAGGGGGTCTTCACCCATTTCGTATAGGGGCCTTTATTGTGTTGCTGGTGGTCTTCCTGAAGGGGGGTCTTTAAAAAGCAGCAATTAAACCGATACTACTTCTTATCCCCTTGATAAAGGGGCGGGGGAGGGGCGGAGAAGAGTCAGTCGGGTTGTCAAGGCGGCATTAGGTTACTGCTGTGGCGGGCAACTGTTCTTAGGTATGGAGAAGCCCAATGTGACAGTTGGCCGTGGAATGGGTTTTGTAATAGATCCCTTTAGTCCTGCGGTGGGCAGCTAGTGACCCTCTAGATGTTTTGG